CTCCAGCCTTGAATTCGTCAAGCCCTGTACGTCGCGTGATGTGTTCTGCATACAATTGGAATAGGTTGGATACAGCCCTGCCCTACTCCTTTCCCAATCTTGAGCCAGTCTGTTGTTCTGTGGTCTGCTCTTACCATTGCTCCTTGGCTGTTATACAGATTCCTCAGGAGACAGACAAGGTGACTTGGTATCCACAAACCACCAATAACTTGCCACAATTTATTATGATCCACACAAAGGCTTTTGAATAGTCAATAAAACAGAAATAGCCATTTTTTCTGAAAGTCCCTGCCTTTCTCCATTATCCAGCCGATATTGAAAATTTGATCTCTTGTTATTCTACTTTTTCTAAACCCAGCTTATACATCTCCATGTATTCCTGGAGTCTGCCTTTCAGGATCTTGATGATTACCTTACTGGCATGTGAAATAAGTGCCACTGTACAAAAGTTTGAGAATTCTTCAGCATTTCTAATTTTTGGTATGGGGGATATATGTTTATTTTTTCCAATCTGATGGCCATTCTTGTGTTTTCCATATTTGCTGGCATATGGCATGCATCACCTTTACAACACCCTCTTTCAAGATTTTAAACAGTTCAGCTGGGATCCCATCATCTCCTACTGCCTTGTTATTAGCAATGCTTCTTAAGGCCCATTCAACCTCACTCCCCAGGATATATGGTTCTAGTTCACTCACCACACCATCAAAGCTATCCTCGATATTATTATCTTTCCTATTCAGAACATCTGTATATTCTTACTGCCTTCTTTTGATCTCTTTTGTTTCTGTTAGGTCCTTGCCATCCTTGTTTTTGATCATACCCATTTTTGCTTGAAATTTATCTCTGATGTTTCTAATTTTCTCAAACATATCTCTTGTCCTTCCTATTCTGTTGTCTTCAAGTATCATAGAAAAGTATTAATGAATTCTTCTTTTACGTTCTTTGGCTTGGCTCTACTCCCATTTTAATGAACCGCATCTTAGCATTGCATCCATATCTAGACAAATAGTTATGATACATAGATTCGAGATCTGTTGCAGTGATATGCTCCAGTAAACTGAAAGTAGAAATGACACTTTCAGTTTCTTCTTTGGTTTTATAATAGAAGGACATTGTAGTTTAAGGCTTCTTAACATTTCATTTCTGTCTGACTTTCTTGCATATAATCTCCCCCATCATGTGTGTTAGTTCATATACTAAACAAATGAGGAATTAAAAAGAAAGCAAAAAGCTCTTCAATTTGATTCCAGTTAAAGCAAATTAATTGGGGGGGGGGGGGGTTAAAGTACCAGAATAAATTTCTGAATTTTAATGAATCTGAAAAATGTTGTGTATTAGAGCCAATGTAGTATAGTGGTTTGTGTGTTGGACTCTTATGTAGCACATTCTTAACGATGTTACTATTAATATTGCAGAACTGCAGCCCAAATGAGTAGTTTTCATAACTGACCGTGGGTTTTTGTATAAAGTTGCAAATGTTCTGTAAATGTATCCAGCTTAGGTACATAGTGTTTAGCTTTTACTAGTGAAAAGCTAATATGTGTTTGTTGCTCAAGCAGCCATTGGGCTGTCATTCCAGCATTTTTATGGATTAACCAATGGAATGGTCTAATGCAGACCTTTCTGAATTCTTATTATATGCATGACTGGGTTCCTTATAATACCTGGAATCCTAACTTTTACTTTGTTCAGTTTCACAAATAATGTGACAAACTTCATTATAAATCAGCTCTGAAGATACATCTTGGTACTTGTAATTAAGGCACATATCTTGGTGGATTTTATATTTATTTCTGTTATAAAAAATACTAATAGACGTAGTCAATACAGTGTCGAAATCTTTTTTTAAAAAAAGTGATCCTATTAGTGTGCTTAGAAGTTTTTTCACTTTGGAGTCAGAGGGTATAGAATTAATCCTTGTATAAGTTGAGTGTTCTTTATCTGATATGCTTGGGACAAAAAGCTTTTTGGATTCTATTTTTTCAGATTTTGAAATACCTGGATTGCATATACATAGTAGAGAGGTGGGGAGGTGAAGAAGATAAGAGGTGAGGGAAAGAAAAGAGAAGGCAAAGCAAAAAAGGCAGCATTGCCTGAGTGTTGGGGGGAGGGGTCCATTGTCCTTCTGCTTTTCCTTTCTCTTTCCCTCCCTGTCTTCCCCCTCCCCAATTCCTAGTCTTTTCTTTCTCCTCTTTTTCATTTATTTCACTGCCTTTCTCTTTCCCTTCTTCCCCTCCCCGTTTCTCCCTTCTCCCACTCTTTGAGGGCCTACCACACAAGGTCTCCATGATAATATGGCTCTGATTGTGGCTCTTTCCTTCCTTTCTCCCTTCCCCTCATACACGTCACCTCTCTTTCTGAGTGAAATCTTCAGGTCGCAACAGCCTTTCTGGTATAAATAGATATACTTTGAGTATGCACACATACATACACACACATATTGTTAGTTATTTCTAATGGTTTTAGATAAAATCTCTCTCTTTCCTTACCACTACCATCTTTTCTAATGTGTAATTTTTTCCAATTCATCAATTTTCTTTAATTTCTCCAAGCTAACAGAAATATCATGTTCTGGATAGCTGTGTGCCTCCCATTCCAATAAACTGCAATATTCTATGCCTTCCCTTCCTTCCTTCCTTCCTTCCTTCCTTCCTTCCTTCCTTCCTTCCTTCCTTTCTTTTCCATGATAAGGGTGACCATGGTTGCACATAATTCTAAATGAATGTACATTACAGATTTAGGTAATAACATTGTGATACTTTAATTGTAATTTCTTCTCTAAAGTTCATAATTTTGAATTTTAGTTCATATATCCAATGTATTGAATTGATTGGAATTAGCATTCTGTTCTGTTACTCAGTTACTTGTTCATACAAAAAAAAAACCTCTGTAATTAATTGCCATCTCACAACATGTCATTATTCCTGCAATTGCATTTGTTATTCACCACTTATTTAGAGCGGCTGTTTTCACTGGTATTTCTCTAACTGGGATTAACATTACATAGACTAAGCTCACTGTGGATGGCAATACATTAATATTCTAAAGTGGAGGGGCCCGCTTTGCTATCGCCCAATTTACTCTTGCAGAATTCTGGGAAATGTAGTGTAGGGAAGCTGAGGACCTCTCTGGCTGAGAATTCCAAAGGCCTCTCCCTAAACTAAATTGGCTTTAAAATACTAATGTGATATCGTCCTGTGTTTTAGTTGCAAGAGGATGGTCTAAAACAGGCATGGGCAAACTTTGGCCCTCCAAGTGTTTTGTACTTCAACTCCCACAATTCAATTTCTACTAGATGTTAGGAATTAGGGGGGTTGAAGTCCAAAACACCTGGAGGGCCAAAGTTCGTCCATGTCTGGTCTAACAGCTTGGTTCAAATATTTCTGAATCATGGTATAATACTGTCAACACTGCTGTGTTCACATTAGTGGTGTAATACCGATCTATCCTTTGGCCAAGATTATGCCTTTACTGACCCAGAGTTTCATTCCTGCCCTATTACAGGGCCAGCCATGGTTCAGATTGTGTTGTCTTCTTCCCCTGCTTCCTGTCCCTCTGAGCCTTTTCCTTTTTTTTCCTTCATCCAGTCTTTCTGCACCTGTTCTGCTTTGTATAATCTACTTCAAGAATTATGATTGGAAAAAAACCTATATGGCTTTTGTCATTTATTAAAGAAACCTTCTCTGGATCCTTTCCTTTGTAATAATGTGAATCTTCTTCCTTTTCTTTTTAAAAATTTGGAGAGCTGACTTTTCTGAACCAATGCCTTATCTAACTACATGTGATCATTTTCTTGACCCATTTCAGTCAGGATTTCTTATATGTCACTGAAATGGCCCTGATTTGTATAGTAAATAATTCTTCAGTAGTAAAAGCTCAGCCTCAAACATCTGCGTTGATTCTGTTGGATCTTTTTGCAAACTTAGATACTTTGGACTATTAGATCTCATTACAATTGGCATCATTAAGAATAACAGGGAATACTGTCTTGGTTCTTAATTTTTTTTGTGTTTGATCATTCATTCTCTAATTAATTTCAGGGATTTATGTCAAAACTTTCCTTGTGAATGTAGGGTTGCCACAAGAATCGTGTCTTCTCCTTTTTTATTATATACCTTTTTCATTATATAGCTATATGGATTTTTTATTTCAAAATTGGGTTTTTGGTGTCATATTTATGTTGGTGATACTGAAATTTTCCAGATTTTAAAATCAGTAGATGCATCTGTGTAGAAGTCAGTGATGGATTACCTGCTGAGTATTTTTTTGCTGTTTTTGCTGATGATCAGCCACGGTCTTAAGCAGTAGCCCTCTTTCAAGTGCATTACAGGGTTGCACAGTGATTCCTGTCCCTGCTGGATGATTGTTTGTCCCCGCGGCTGTTTATCCGGGCAACAGCAAAATATGTAATTTGCATATTTTGAACTAGAAGAATCTGTAGAAATTTGATAATAAAGACTGCCCATCTACTTGACCAAGAGTTGGTTATGTCATACCTGGATTATTGTAATAGGCTACTGTCAGGTTTGCCTTCCTGCTCTCACCCACTTTTGGTTTCGATCCAATGTGATCTCAATTATTTTAAATCTCCCTAAATATTCACACATCTCTACTCCTGTCTTTCTCTTAACTAGCTAGCAGTTTGGGCCACGGTCTGTTTTGAACTTTTACTTTTGCTCTGTACTTTAGTCTCCCTCAGTACCTGGCAGTTCAGCTAGCATGGTGTGTAACATCTAGGAATCTAAGATATGCAGGCAAAGGATTATTGTCTTTTCCACCAACATGCACGCCTGAGGTTGCTGAGACATGTATGATGTGTTGGGGGCTGAAAAGTGTATTATAAATAAATATTGTTAATATTGTTTTTAGTTTTGTTTTTTAAAGGGGGTGTTACATTAAGTCCTATGAAAAAGCTAGTTAAAATCCAGAGTTTTGTTTTCATAGACAGTAAATAAGCAATTCTTCAAAAATTAATAAATTATTTTTCTTTCTTCAAGGATATACGGCACCAATCCAATGACTATCCACATAAAATTGCGAAGTATGCAGAAAATCGAAATCGTAACAGATACAGAGATGTTAGCCCATGTAAGTAAGTTTTTACTTATATTTTAATTTTTAAAAAATTAATTCAAACTTACTTACATTGAAAAGGGATCATAGTCATGTAACAAAATGTTCCAGTATAACAAAAGCAGGGAAATAGAATCAAAAGGACATTCATTGTTTCTATAAAAGCTTGTGAATGTCCAAATATAAATCTCATTTGTAAATTTGATCCACATGTCATTCTTTCAAATGTTGCAAGCAAGGTTATATCTCCTATTGGTTGAATCACAGGTGGAGAATAATTGCCTTTCCAGTAATGAAGTGTCAAGCTTTTAGCAGTAAAAAAATTCACATCCATTGGCCATTTGTTAATTTACAAGAAACAGATAAATAATTCAAAAGAACATGCATGTCCCTGAATATCAAGTAACTTTCCAATACCAAATTTATTCATTCTATAAAAGGGGCAATGTTTTGCTAATAATGTTTCAGTAAGAGCTGTATGGCAAATGCTGCCTTGTTAATAAAAAAGTAATCCAAATGCTTATGCCAAACAGACTTTATGGAGGAATTGAGATTTGAAAACAGATAAACATTGTTATTGAAGGTATGGACTGAGAATGAGCTTGTTATTTTAGAGCAGTCATTTGGTGTTGATGAAGAGTTTTTACCCTTTTCAGTTTTGCAAAGGCAGTTTAAACTACCACTATCAACTAAATGCTGATTTCTCCAACTGAAATATTTGTTACAATGCAGGCTTGGATTTTAACATTACAGAGAGTAATTAAGTGCTCATACCAACAACACACACATTTAGGCTGCAAGAATTGAGTCAATTCTTCAAGAGATTCTGTTTCCTCAGCCAATTTAAATTTCTTTAGTTGCCCCCACAAAGACACAATAAAGTGGGAAACTTGGTTAATACTTCACCTTTAAGTGCCTTACAAACATTTTTGCTTTAATAAATTGTCTTCTCTGGTCACCTGCCTCCTTTGTAAAGTCAGTAAAAATCATCACCTTGCCTTATTTTGATTGTCACTTTCCTCACTGCCTAGCAATTGAAGCGGGAAATCTGTAGTAATATGGAGAAATTGAACAACCGGAGTAGACCCAAACATTGTTTAGCATTGGAAACTGATTGAGCTCTTTCATTTTATAGTTGGAAATCAGATAGCAAAGCCAACAGCATAAATATGTATCCAGAAATTTAATTAGATAATAATAATTTTATTTTTACTTGCCTCTCCTCGTGGTGGGTTACAACATAGTTAAAACACATAAGCATTGTAAACATTCTATAAAATATGCATATTAAAATGTATTTCTATGAAACACATATTAAAATACACAGAGCAAAGATTAAAACACAGGGCCCAAGTTTTAAATTAATTATTTAAACAGACTGGGTAGGCCTGCTTGAAGAGATAGGTCTTCAGATGTGTTTAAAATTCCAACAGTTCTTCTGGCAGGTCGTTCCAAAGTCTTGGTGTGGCTGATGAAAAGGTCTTGCAGGTGATGGTTGTCAGTCGTGTTCTGGAGTAGCTGTCCCCCAACAACTTGCACTTGGCCTGGAAATTCAGTGGAGTGACTTTAGGATAGTGTCATATGTTCACTCCTGGCTGTTCCTCTAACCATTCTGGCTGCCGTATTTTGACTCGGCTAAAGTTTCCAAACTTGATACAAAGGTAGCCCAATATCCAGTGTGTGGTTTAGATTACCAGTGTGTGCACTACCATCTTTAGGTCCTCCAAATCTAGGAAGGGGTGTAGCTGGCCTATCAGCCAAAGCTGGTAATAAGCACTCCTGACATCTACCTGGGCTGGCGTTTGGAGAAAAGGATCCAAGAGCACTCCCAAGCTGCAAACACAATCTTTCAGTGGGAGTGTAATCCTTTAGAAGATAGCTTCCAAGTCTCTCAGGGCAATGATCTGTAGATTACCATGTAGGGTAAGAATTTCTATCTGAGAAATCCAGGCAAAGAAAAGGCTATTGGAAACATTCATAGCCATTTCATGAGTTTGTAACCATATCTTCTGGGGCGTCGCTCTGCAATTCAGTGATTTGTATATGTCTTCCTAATGTGCCCATTGAATCTTGAATTGCCTTAATTTAAGGAGTTTTGCTTAGAAATTTCACCGATTTTAGAATTGATGACTTGAATTAATCTTTAAGATTAAGTTCAGCTCAGTTACTGACATAAGAACAGTCAAAAGCCTTCTACAGAAATGGCAATACTTTTTTTTTTACGAAAGATTAATATCCTGCCTCTTTTATATGGAATTCAAAGTAGTGTGCAGTAAAACATAGGATTTCTCTTCTGCACATATGTGCTGATCAGAACTTCCATGATTCAGCAAAGTTGCTGCTAGAATCCCCTGTCGTTCAGTATTGTTGTCTAAATTTCCAACTAAGCTAAAGGTTAGGTGCCTCTAACTCCCTATATTATGATTGCCTGGAGCTTTTGTTAGCCATTTCACGTAGTGGGCATGATTGTATGCATGATTCTTATACAATCATTGTCTTTTGACTAGAATATAATTACTGGCTGTAGATGTTTAAAGGATTAACTACACATGTTTAAATAAGTACAAAAATAGTATTACTGCTATTTAGTATTCTGTCTTAATGTTTCTGACAAGCTGCAAGGATATAAGAATGCCTGGTAAATGCTTCTAAAATTCTGGTGAAACCTGTAGGACTTCTCTAAGATAAATTGTTTATGGATCAGTGCTGCTAGATTAGAAACTGTTATACTTAGCTAAGTAGCTATACTTAGCTTACTTGAATAATAAACCTTAATTATATGTACATACCATTATATACTGGCAGTAAGACACTTAGCATTTCATTTGCTAGAAAGCAGACTGTGGTGAAAAAACGCTTGACCTGGAATATTGCAATCCACCAATAAGTAAAATGTAATTTTTCTACTCTTCTTTTGTTTTGATGAATTAAGATAGGTAAAGTTTATCTCCCAATTAACAACAAGGCCATAACAAAATTAGCATACCTTCTGTGAAATTCTGCTCTGTCTTTCCTGTGATTAGGGGGATATGAGTTTTAAAGGCCATTCTAATGTATTTGTTGTGTTTGTTTTTACCATACTGTTATTATTTAATTGTTTTTTCACTTCTGTATTGCTTTTGTAAACTTTTTAGTGTGAATATATGTTAGCTGCCTTAAGTCCCCATTGGAAGAAAGGCAGGTTATTATTATTATTATTATTATTATTAATAATAATAATAAATAGAAAATAACATTTTTGCATGACTTGTGATTATGTAGCTAATGCTGGAAAAAAGGTTGAACATACTAGAATTCAATTGAAATAAGGAAACATTTCTTTTCTGCATGCCTCTCTGTCTAGATCAGTGGTTCTCAACCTGTGGGTCCCCAGGTGTTTTGGCCTACAACTCTCAGAAATCCCAGCCAGTTTACCAGCTGTTAGGATTTCTGGAAGTTGAAGGCCAAAACATCTGGGGACCCATGGGTTGAGAACCTCTGGTCTAGATGCAGGGATGATCGTTTCAGTATCTCTGAGATAGTATCAGAAGTTTCATGGTCTGTCTAATAAAATGGGGGGGACGGGACATTTTTGTATGGTGGTGGTAGTTATAGTAGAAACATAGCTTTAAAGGTTTAGGTATATAATACTTACGGCTTGACGTATGAAAGTGAAACAAAATCATTGCTTATCTATTAAATCAAACTGCAACCACTTGGTGATTCAATGGTTAAAGCACTACTTACTGACATCATATTTCCGAGAACAGTAGTACCAGTATGTGTGATTTACTATAACAAGATCATAAGTTTTTTCCTGTTGGCAAATGGCATGTAGTGTTTACAAAGACTTTGGTTTCTGTCCAACAGAAACATTTGACTTCCAATAAATTGATACATGAAAAGAGAATCTTAGTGCTTTAATTTGCAGGGAAGATAAACAATTTGCTTTGAAGGAAACAGTATTTAATTTTTAATAGTTTTTAAAATACACATTCATTGTGGTTCTCTGCAGGAAAATAGTCTGAATTGAGTGTCTTCAGCTATTTTTAGTATGATTGCTTTGTCTTGGAAACTCTTAGATAGCATAGATTTTTGTATAGGAAAAGAATGGAGGGCAGTTTCTGTACTTGTCATAAGAAGTTTGATGATTTGTAGATAAATGTTTCAGATCCATCTTTGAAGAATATCATATATTTTTAAAAGAAAGATTAAGATTAGAACCAGAACTGTAATGCATTAAACTACAGGTTTTCTTTTTAATTTTTTTTAGATAGCTGTCTGCCATTACTTAGTTTTTATTTGTGGTTATTTTTTTACAGTCTTTCTTGAAGTTAGGGTTAATGACCTGTTTTTCCCAAGTAAATATGTCTTCATTATCAACAAGTCATGTAGTTCCTGATAGTATTACATCAATCAGAAGCACTGCTATTTATGCTACAGGCCAGATATGATGCTTATCTTAACTCCTATGAAATATGTTCATAGAAGTATTGTTTGTTATTTTAAATCGAGAATGAAAGAAAACAGTTTTAAGCAGATGATAAGATGATGGAAATTAGGCTTCTAGCGATAGCTGCTAGACGTACTACTGATGGAGGAGGGTTAATTTTAGCAATAAGTGATACACTGACAGAATTTTATCATGGCCACAAGTACAAGCAGAAATTGCTGCTTCAAATTGTAACTTTGCAGTGAATCCTGTTGAGTAGCTTTCTGAAAGCCTTTGCTGACACCCACAGCTTATACCACACAGTTCCCCCAGTCTTACAAAAAACAACTTAGGGTCTCATCACCGTATGAGTGTGGTTTGTTTTAATTTCCTAAGATTATGATGTCAAAAGATTCAGGTTTGTAGTTTATTACCTGTCTTGAAAGAACAGAAAACATGTGGCAAAATCTTTGTATACTGTTTGATCATTGAGGTCATTGGAATTGAGAATTCTTATGGCCAAGTGAATAGAAGGGAATAAAAACCTACCCATGTTTAAAGTACAGAATGGTTAAAGTCTAGAGTAGGCATAGACAAACTTCAGCCCTCCGGCTGTTTTGAATTTAACTCCCACAATCCCTAACAGCTAGTAAGCTGGCTAGAATTTCTGGGCGTTGAAGTAAAAAACACCTGGAGGACTGATGTTTGTCCATTCATGCTGTAGAGGGATGGTGGGAAGACTTGTATGTCATTTATGTTTGAAGAAGTAGATAGCTGAATTGCTCTATTGCTCTACCGCTTTTACTTAGTTTACATTTAACTGATGCATATATGGTAAGAACTGTTTGGGAGTTTTTCCCCTCATTATGTATTGTTTTGTAGAATTTCCTTCATTTTTTTTCAAAATGGCTTTTGGAGGTATGGAGTGGTGGTGTGTGGGAAGATGTATCACTTCACATCAGAATATTTAGTAGCAAATCGATAAAGATATGGCATGTATTGACCCTTGACGTATCCACAAGTCAGCAAAACCTATAATTTTGGCCTCAAAACTTTCCCTGAATGTATACACAAAGTCCAGTTATACCTGAGTTTATACAATATGTCAGAATTGCTTAACTGTCATTACTATGACACAGTATTATGGATAAAATAAGGTATTAAAAAGTCTTAGTTTTTTATTCTTAATAGTCTCTTAATTATATTTATTTTAAGATGATCACAGTCGTGTGAGACTACAGAACACAGACAATGATTATATCAATGCAAGCCTGGTGGTTAATGAAGAAGCTCAGAGAAATTATATATTAACACAGGTAGGTATTTCCAGATGGTTGGTGTCTAAATTCTCACACAATGAAGCATGAAACTTAACCTTGGGGGTGGTTTGGATGGTTACTGGAGCCAAGACAAGGCCTTCCTTTCTGTTGTACTTCCACTGGTTTCTTAACCAACTAGAGCTGTGGGCTGGAGTGAAGAGAGAGGGAACCAGGGGACAGTTCCATCTTGTCTCCTGCGTATGTCATCAGTTGGGGACCCCTCCACCCAGCACCAACAGCTGCTCTGGGCCAGAGTGAAGAGAGGAGGCCAGAAGACAGTTTCACCTTGTCTCCTGATACATAATGTAATATAATATGTTGCATGTACATATAATATTTATACCATTATAATGTAATATAATACTAATGATAATATATTATAATTATATATGTTATATACATGTAATATTACTAATAATATTATAATATAATGGTATAGTACAATATAGTAATATATAATATTGATATTGTACTATGCTAATAATATAATATATTGTATGCATATATATATATCTTGTAAGCCGCTCTGAGTCCCCTTCAGGGTGAGAAGGGTGGCATATAAATGGCGTAAATAAATAAATAAAGTTTTTTTTTATTTTGATGTAATGAGCACAAAGAAGCCAGGACCTTCAGGACAGGAAGATTGAATACAGTATGATCCATCTGTCTGTGTGGGATATGTGCCTGATTTCACATGAATAAGTGAAACTGCAGATAATACCAAACTCTATTTAAATGAAGAACATCTGGCCCAAGATTTGCCCTGAAGGACTTAGTGCCTGAAGAGGACATATTTTGTCAGACATGGATAAAAGACACCACAGCTATTAGTCCAATAGATACAGGAATCATACTGGTTTGAGGGAGGATCAAGCAGTCAGAGAGGGGAAAGTAGCACCTAGTTCCTTCCCATCTCCCCACTGGCCCATCACTGCCCTCAAAGGTATTTGTGGGTTTTCCAGATTTGCAGTTGGGTCCATACCCGTGCTGCATCCCAACACTGAATATCTGTTTTTTCTAGCCTTCCTTCGCTATCCTTGCAAGACCAACCCTGGTAAAAATACTTCAGCCATATAGAAGATGTGGAAGAAAAGGGGCTGGGCCAATGTAAAAGGATTTTATACAAAGGACCGTCTTTGTCAGAGGATTTGTTAACTGAGTTGTATCTGTATAAACATGGTACTTCAATAAATATGTCATAAATAATTTTAATACTTTAGAAAATCTCAACTTTGAATCTGTGGAACTTCTGTAGAGAAACTAAAGGTTTTTTAAAATAATTTCAGAAAGGTTTGTAAATATATTGACATTTTTGTCAGTCTTTACTCTCCATTATATTTTGATTAAGCTCTAACATTAAATACTCCACATTCCCTTTATGAGCCCAAGCACTGGAGATGACCTGGTTCTCTTTACTGAAGAGAAAGACTGCACTCACCAGGGGACTTTGATTGCTTGTTATGCTAATTATTCTTTGTTTAGGAATGTTTGCTGCTGCAGGTACTAGTTCATGTCTCATTTGAAATAGATTGCTTACTGAATGGCCTTTCTCTTGTACAGGGTCCACTTCCAAATACATGCTGCCATTTTTGGCTAATGGTATGGCAACAAAAGACAAAAGCAGTTGTTATGCTGAACAGAATTGTTGAGAAAGACTCGGTGAGTTCTGTTAATTACATCCAACTGTACATCAGACTCTAATATGGTATGAATACACAATTGCTGGAAATACTGCTTCCTCTCCTTTTGATCCTTTAGTTTGAGAATATCCTGATATTAAGGGTATCTTTATTTAAGAACTTAGTAGGTTAAATAACAGTAGTAATAGAAGCAAGGGAAAAATATTCTTCGTACCTGAATAATTCCATGTAATACTAGTTTGGTCCTTCCTGAGGAAAATAACTTGGCAGTCATTATTCATGTCCTTGTGATCCATCTTTAACAAAGTTTTGTTAACAATATCCCTTTACAACTTAGGTGAAATGTGAACAATACTGGCCTACGAGGGAAGAGGAACAAATGATGTTCAAAGAAACTGGATTTTGTGTGAGGCTAAAATCTGAAGATGTCAAATCGTACTATACTGTACGCCAACTTCAGCTAGAAAACATTAAAGTAAGCTTTCATCAAAATAATAGATATTTTCTCTAAAACCCTTATAGAATGCACATGCAGCTATTGTTTGGAACAGTTCGTGGAAATGTGCTTGTGAAATCAAATCATCTGCATCTCTATTATAGATTCTCTGTGGGGGATGGAGCATGATTATCCCTTCATGGACAGAAATGTGATTGATAGGCAAATGGAAATGTCACATTGTTACATTTACTATATTTATTACTTACCCTGTACCTCTGTGTGGCCTGTAAGAGAAAAAAAATCTCACACTGAGAAACAGCAGCATTTCAGTAAAGTGTAATCAGATCTCTTTTGAGAAGGAGTGGGAGGGTATGAAGAGACACTACATACTTAAGGATACTGGATTGAAGTAGGAGAATGTTTGCTTTATTTAAAATATGGAGAAGTACTCTAGTTTTCCTTTGATAATTAATATTTTTCTCTACTGATCGCCATGCAGTTCCCTAGTAGCAGGCTTCTCATATCATCTGAATAGCTAGAATTTACTCAGATTCTAGGTATGCCACCTATTTGGCCTGGATTGCAAGATTTCCTTTTTTAAAGTAAGTTTCTAGCTCTTACGGAAGCTGAGATGTGACAAATTGGAACAAGCCCAATCAGGAATTTCAAGCATGAGGAAGTGAGACAAAATGATGGATTGGAAGAAGCAAGGGAAGAGCACACTGTGATGGTGCAAAGGGGAGGGTGTTGTAGACAGGAGCGCAAGGGCACACCACACAAATGTGAGGCAAGAGTGGGAGTAGGAGAGAACTGTGAGCAATATTGCACAAGAAACAAATGAGAGGCGTACCACAGGGACACCAAGTAAGGTAAGAGAGTAGGAGAGACAGGAATGATAATTATGAATGGTGCTGTACAGGAAGAGATGCTCAAAGCAATAAAGGAAGAAAGATGGGAGAGTGAGCCTCATGGGTGGTGATATGTATGAAGCAAGCCAGGCGGGGAAACCATGGAGCAAGATATTAGAGCAAGTCATGCAAGTAGTGATGTGTAGGAAGCAAGCAAGGAACACACCACAAGGGAGAAGGTTAGGGAGGGAGCAGGAGAGCTGGGAAAGCAAATAGTGTGAGTAGTGGCATGCAAGAAGCATTTTGAGAATGTGAGATGAGAAAATGGTGATGTAAATTTTCAATAGCGGTCTGTGACAACCCTAACAGTGAATCTAAGAAATTTGTAACTTTTATTAAAGAGCACTTTTTTGTGGGTGTTATTTGAAAGCTAATGTTTTGACTGTATAACTAAAAATTACCATTGAATTGTGAATGTTTGTGTTATTAACAGTGATAATCAAGCAACGAGTGGAGATCCAGTGTTTGATCAATAATTCTTTTCCATACTAAATTTTACTTCCTAAATGTTTTTAGGTGAAGAATACATTTTAAAAACCCCACAAACTCGTGTTTCTTCTCTTGTTATGTATACATTTGAAATAATTGTAGATCATTTAAAAGATGCCAGTGCACCACTAATGCAGTCAGTTCAGGTGGCAACTGCAAGTAGCATAAATACAATAGTGAGGAATCAACTTATTACCGTGCAATTTTGCAAGTGTGGTTCTGAAATATGGATAAACCAGGATTTTGCATTTCAAGCCATATAAACATGTTTTAACACTATGACTTTTTTCAGACTGGGGAGTCCAGAATTATATTCCATTTTCATTATACCACATGGCCAGATTTTGGAGTTCCTGAATCTCCAGCTTCATTCCTTAACTTCTTGTTTAAAGTCAGAGAATCTGGATCTTTGAGCCCTGATCATGGGCCTGCAGTCATTCACTGCAGTGCAGGAATTGGACGTTCTGGTACATTTTCTTTGGTAGACACGTGTCTTGTCCTGGTAAGTTTGCCCCAAACCTTCCCAAGAACTACTATATCGTTAATTTTGGTATGAAAATATTGTTACTCACTATTCTTTAGTAACAGTTGGAATTAGTTGTGTTTGTTTTTATTTCTATAGATGGAAAAAAGAGAAGACCCATTTTCTGTAGATATAAAACAAGTATTACTAAATATGAGAAAATACCGAATGGGACTTATCCAAACTCCCGATCAGCTGAGATTTTCCTACATGGCTGTAATAGAAGGAGCAAAGTACATAATGGGAGATCCTACTATACAGGTATGTATTTAAAATGATTGGACTGTTTTTGAAATTTCTTGATTCTTTTGAAATCCAAATAAAACAGATTAAAATGCTTTACAGAATAAGGTTAACCTGTTCTATAGGGCTTATGCAAGTAAGGTTGATGTCCATTATGATATGTATTATCTAACTTTATTCATCTTCTTAATGAATTAAAATGCTGTGATGATAATACTTTGGTGATACTACATTGTAGAATAAACAAAACTTTACGTACAATTGAACTTCACTTATCTTGTGATGCAAATACAACCTGTAGAAATTTCACAGTTAACACAAATCTAGCTGGATTAGCAACGTTTTTTTATACATCTCAGTATCAGAGTCTCTTCTCTGTCCTTCCTCTTTCTGGTGTTATGGTACTTAGTATAATAAATACTAAAAATTTCACATATTGCCTTCCCAGTTACCTAACTCTAAACTTTCACTAGATAATACTTTAAATAGTTAGCTGCCCAGCATTTTAATTCTTCTGTAATTATTTTTCCAAAATATTTCTATGTTTTCTAAAAAGCACAGTGAGGTATTAAACATCAGTATTTCTATTTTTGTCCTGTTGGTGTACACTATATTACTTTAAGGTAAAGCCTGTATCTAATATGCACTTTACTGTTAATGGGTGCTATCAAGAATTAAATATTAAAATGATTTCCACTAAGCACAAAAACATTGATACAATACACTTAAAAACAGTGATTTTCATGATCATCAAAATACAAAGGAACACATTATTGATTAGCATATTGGTGAGTAAGTTTATGGCTAGATCCAGTGGATGGTGAAGCGCAGAAAGGCCTGTTTTTGAGTTACAAGAGAAGATAGTATTGTATTCTCCGATGCAGAGCACTTACATTGAAAGAACAAAATTAGGCAATCTTAATGGTTGGTTGTATAGGCATTGAAATGTTTTGAATACTTATGCTCTTCTAATAATAATAATATTGTATTGTTGAAGGCTTTCATGGCCGGAATCCATGGGTTGTTGTAGGTTTTTCCGGGCTATATGGCCATGTTCTGGAGGCAATTTTTCTCCTGACGTTTCGCCTGCATCTATGGCAAGCATCCTCAGAGGTAATGAGGTCTGTTGGAACTAGGAAAAATGGGTTTATATATCTGTGGAATGGCCAGGGTGAGACAAAGGACTTTTGTTTGCTGGGGCTAGCTGTGAATGTTTCAGCTGATCACCTTGATTTGCATTCAATGGCTTGGAAGCGCCTGGGGGGAATCTTTTGTTGAGAGTGATTTCATGTGCCTGTTTGTTTCCTCTTTTGCTGTTGTAATTTTGAGTTTTTTAATACTGGTAGCCAGATTTTGTTCATTTTCATGGTTTCTTCCTTTCTGTTGAAATTGTCCACATGCTTGTGGAGTTCAATGGCTTCTCTGTGTAGTCTGACATGGTGGTTGTGAGAGTGGTCCAGCACTTCTTGACAAGTCTACATAGGGACCACCAAACGCAGCGCCCAGACACGCATCAAGGAACATGAAAGGCACTGCAAACTACTCCAACCAGAGAAATCAGCCATAGCAGAGCACCTGATGAACCAACCTGGACACAGCATATTATTTGAGAACACAGAAGTGCTGGACCACTCTCACAACCACCATGTCAGACTACACAGAGAAGCCATTGAAATCCACAAGCATGTGGACAATTTCAACAGAAAGGAAGAAACCATGAAAATGAACAAAATCTGGCTACCAGTATTAAAAAACTCAAAAATTACAGCAGCAAAACAACAGAGGGGAAACAAACAGGCACATGAAATCACTCTCAACAAAAGATTCCCCCCAGGCGCTTCCAAGCCATTGAATGCAAATCAAGGTGATCAGCTGAAACATTCACACCTAGCCCAGCAGACAAGAGTCCTTTGTCCCACCCTGGTCATTCCACAGATATATAAACCCTTTTTCCTAGTTCCAACAGACCTCATTACCTCTGAGGATGCTTGCCATAGATGCAGGCGAAACGTCAGGAGAAAATTGCCTCTAGAACATGGCCATATAGCCCGGAAAAACCTACCACAACCCAATAATAATATTAATAATAACTTTATTTTTATACCCCACCACCATCTCCCCGAAGGGACTCGGGGTGGCTTACAAGGAGACAGGCCCAAAAATACAAAGTAAAACATACACAATAAAATAAAATGAAACATTAAAATCAACAACAACATCATCAAAAAATTGTTACAAACACAAGTACACATTTTAAAATGGTATAACGGCTGAAAGATTAGGTGCTGAGTGTGGCGGGATCAGGCAAAGTGCAAATGTAGGGCCCAGGGAAAGTGCAAAATACAGTTCCATTCAGTATGGAACACAGCTGAGAGAGTAACATCCTTTGGTATTTACAGTCACTGAATTACAAGTTGGAGGGCCATTGAAAGTGCTAAGGACTATGGCTAGATTGATCAATTCTCTGGTGAACTGCCTACTCAAATGCACAGCGGAACAACCAGGTTTTTAACTCCTTAAGGAAAATGGAAAGGGTACGCACCAATCTGATCTCTCTGGATAGCTAGTTCCAAAGCTGGGGGCCACCACTGAGAAGGCGCTCTCTCTCGTTCTTACCAGCCACACTTGAAACGGCAGTGGAAGCAAGAGCAGAGCCTCTCCAGATGATCTTTAAGTATGTGCTGGTTCATAGGGGAAGATGCAATCTCAAAGATAGGCAGGCCCTGAACCATTTAGGATCACCTGCACCTTGAATTGGGACCAGAAAATTATCAGGAGGCAGTAGAACTGTTTAAACCAACTCCTGTTAGTAGCCTGCCCGTCGATCTTTGAACCAACTGCAGTTTCCGAGCCGTTTTCAAGGGCAGCCCCACGTAGAGTGCATTGCAGTAATCCAATCTGGAGGTAACTAGAGTGTGAACCACCATGGGCAAGTCAGACTTCATGAGGTACGCGTGCAGTTGGTGCACTAGTTTTAATTGCGCAAAGATCCTCCCGGCCACTGCCAACACCTGAGCATCAAGTGTCAATGCAGAATCCAGAAGGACCCCCAAACTGCGGACCTGTGTTCTAAGGGGGAGTGTAACCACATTGAGCACAGGTTCCTACCCTATATCCCCATCAGCCCCACTACTGACCTGGAGGACCTCTGTTTTGTCAGGATTGAGCTTCAGTTTGTTAACCCTCCTCCAGCCCATCACAGTAGCCAGGCACTGGTCAAGGATCCGGGGGACTTCCTTGGAGTCAGGTGGAAAAAGTAGTAGAGATCTGTGTAGAGATGGCACCGAACTCCAAAACTCCGGATGACCTCACCCAGCAGTTTCATGTAGATGTTAAATAGCATAAGGGAAAGAATAGAATCAGGGGTCCGAGCAGGTATCCCCCAGCTTCACCAACTGGGTACGGCCCTCCAGAAAGGATCGGAGCCACTGCAAAGCAGTGCCCCCAAGGCACATTCCTGAGAGTTGACCCATGGTCGATGATATCGAAAGCCGCTGAGATATCCAAGAGAACCAAGAAGGATACACTTCCCCTGTCTAGCTCTCTGCGGAGGTCATCCTCCAAGGTGACCAAAGCCATCTCTGTACCATGGCCAGGCCTGATAATCGGTATCCGTGGAGCTGAATTAAGTTAAAATATTAGACCTTACTCAGTGCTGGAAAACTTAATTCAGTGCATCATAATAATCCAATCTTTTTTAAAGGAATGGTATGGTAATTGAACCTGAAGAACAGTAAATAGAAAATAATAGGTAGTCATTGTTTCTTTTGCAAATGCTTGTGGAAGGGTTCATACAGTTCTAAAGTAGATATATTTCACAACAGTTGTAATGCACCTGCAAGCAAATGCCATTGGATTTAGCTTTCTTTTCTTGAGAGATAAAACAGCCCTTTTGTAAATAAATGTCTTTTGCATATCAAAATACATAAATTCACCTCCTTGTTGAGGTATGCATTTTATCCACCTGTAGAAGTGTGTTGCAGTTGATGTTTAAAAATAGCTGTAACTGTAACTTTTGGAAATGTCTTTTCAAACAGATTTTTAGCTTCAAAAGATTAAGGCATCCTTTCATTTCAGAATCGATGGAAGATACTTTCAAAAGAGGACCAAGCACCAAGTTCTGGACGTTCCCCTCCACAAGCAACCAAAATAACTACGGAGAAGTTCAATGGAAACAGTGTGGGATTAGAAAAACAGGAGCAAGATGAGGACATAAATGCTGACCTGTCTTCCACGTTACAGAATGCTGCAGATGCAAATGCTGACGTGTGAGTATAATTTGTATGAAAACTAGAAAACCAATTAGTGCCACGACTCTTCAGGGGAGTAGCCATTTTTAACCAGTTTTAAAAATATTTTGAGGGGTGCTGCCCCCAATACCTAAAAACAGCATTGTCGAGCTATGTTTTGCCCACTTGTGTATTAGAAAAAGATAAAAATTACTCTTAAGGCACCAGATCCTGTCTGATCTTGGAAGCCATATAGGATCAGCCCTGATTAATACTTGGATGGGTGACTACCAATGAATACCTGCAAGCTATATTTCAGAGGAAGGAATTGGTAAACCACTTCTGGATATTCCTTGTCTAAGAATACCCTTTGAAATTCACGAGGTTTCCATAAATCTACAAGCAATTTGAAGGCACACAAACACATACAGCTATGGATTTTCAAGAACTAGTTAATTGTGAACTGGTATAGAAGTTGGACAAAATAGTTAATATATTCAGTCAGATTGAGCATGCGTCATAAAATAAACTGAGACATTTCATATGAAGACACGGTTCATTAGAAAAGAGTATTTGATCAGGTAGAAGGTGGCAGAAGAGGAACATTGTATTATTACCCACTGATAGATTCAATCAAGGAAGCCACAGTCCTGAATTTGCAAGGTCTGAGCAGGGTTACTTGAAGGTCTTTCATTCATGGGGTTGCCATAAGGTGAGGTCTATTTGATGCCTATTAACAAGAAATCGGAGAGTGATTTGCCTCAGGATCACTCAGTGAACTTCCATGGTTAAGCAGGGATTCCGACCTCAGTCTTCTAGAAACCAAATCACTACATCATGCTGGCAAATTGTGATGACTGTGTTCCTAGTAGTGCCATATTTTACAAATTCGACTGCTTGTTCAACATATAATTTCATTTGCTTGTTTGCGTTTTCCTGGGAATTGAAAGGATGTATTAAAATAGCAAAAGTAAGGAATTGAGAAGCAGGAATTTTTGTTTGTTTCTTATCTTGATAGAGAGAAAGCTATTCTGATACATAGTTATACTTCATACTAATTACTCCTAGTGATTGTTTCTAAATGACATCCAAGATTACAAATGTGTAATGGTATAATGTGAAAATGCGATAGTTTTTCTGAAATTTCAGATGACTGCAGAGGGTACAGGCATTGAGATGCCACAAGGTCCTGCTGGTCACATTGCAAATGAAATAAGTGGGGAACCTAGCTTAATCACGCTCTTGGTGTAGGTGTAGCATGGATAATACAGTTCCACTTCAAATCCTGGTTTTTATATGAAGTTCTCAAACGTTGTGGCTTCATTATTTAGACAGAGTATTTTAAATATGAGTATGGCCACTGATATATCTTTGTAGAAGAAATAACGTATACTTTATGTATTCATTTTTGTATATCTTCATCTCTTTAAATATAGCTCAATTTACCTATTGCTAGAAGGTATTTAGAAGTCTTCTGGGTATAAATCCTTTTGCTGTGGAAGTGCAGTGATTCATTTTAATGTGTTTAATATAATTTACAAGTATATCCAAGCATTTCTGCTCAACTTGCATGCTGCCAGTTGTCCCAATAATTTTTAAATGCTTGTACCTACCTGTGTTTTTACACATATATTGAGGTTATGATGCATACTCTACACTTAATTTTCCCCTTAAAACTTGTCAAAGTTCACGAGCCTCCTTCATATAACTGTATCTTAGGTGGAAAGTTTTAGCCTGGTTTGGCATCAAATAAACATTTTAAATCGTGTCGCTTTATTTTTTGTTTTTGAAATATTGCAGCAAGATGTGCTAGAAATGTGGCTAAAACTGACCCAGCATTTTTTTTCCTTTTTAGTACTTTCCGGAAACGGCTGAGAGAGGATAGAAAAGCTAACACAGCACAGATGGTGCAGCAGATGAAACATAGGCTGAGTGAGACTGAAAGAAAAAGAAAAAGGTGGTTATATTGGAAACCTATTCTTAGTAAGATTGGATTTGGTTCAGCCCTTTTCATTGCAGCTTATTCTTGCTGGCATTTGTACTTCCATGGTTCTCTCTTTTGAGCGCTTATGCAATGATGTATCTACAAATATAAGTTCCACTGATTTCAGTGGGATCAAGTATTGCTGGGTCCAATATAGCTACCATAGCTCATGGAACAAATGTGCTGGTAGTTTAGTGGGAATTTCACTTTGCCGCAATGAATGCCTATATTTGAATTTAATGCAGTAAGCCTGTAATGCACAATATGAAAACCTGAATAATAGTGTCTGTCTCAGGACTCTTCACTGCAGGTACTTCTGAAACCAAACTGACACCTGGGGCCCTTTCACTGGGCACAATTGTAGCACTTTAATTCCATTTGAACTGCCCTGGCTTCATCCTATGATATGCTGGGATCTGATGGTTTCGTGAGATGTGCAGAATTCTCTGCCAGAGCAGCAATGCTTATGAATCCAAGGAGCCCATAGGATGCAGCTGTGGCAGTTTGTGGAATTAAAGCTATAGTTGTGTAAGAAGAACCCCTGGAATAAGATTGTATACTCTTGTTGGGTAAATTGATGCATATTTTTCAGCAACTACATGTATAGAACTCAAAATAGCCAACTAGACTGAATTTTCAAAGTTTCATTCTGCCAATTTGCATACTGATACAAGCAATAAACAGTATGGTGTTGTCGTTTGAATGAAGACCAGTTCAACTCATGTGTGGAATATACTATGAACACTTTATATTCTGACTTAAATTTTATATCTATATAACCGTACCCTTTTGTAATCTACTGTATTTTTAAAAGCTACATTTGTACAAATCTCTCTAACAGAAAAAGTATGCATTAGTTCCTGGTGCATCCATCCCAAACATTTCAAGAGTAATTAGGAACTGTATTGACTTCACAATTTCCAACTTAGTGATTAGTGCATAGCCCTTTGAGACATTTGTTGTTAGCAGATGCCAACTACTTCTCAATTTCTGCTCTGTAAGTTGTATTCATGTATTTATGCTTGTAGTTGCCTTTTTATTTAAAAAAAAACTTGAAAATGTTTAATGTTAGAGACTACTGGGGGCTTGGGTCCTGTAGCTCCAACTGATTGTTTTGAAGGGAGCTGTGTTAAGACTGCAGTTACTGTTGGAAGCCGTAGCTTGTGTTTAAAATTCAAACATTCCATTAAATGTGAAAACATTTTTGTGTGTCTCATTTAATTTGAGTTCTATTCCTTGCACTATTTAAGGGTCCTTTTATAATGGGCACAGACAACATATGAGAAACGTTTTACTTTGAACAATTATTAGAGAAACTGATATATATAGAGAGAGAGAGAGAGAGAGAGAGAGTGTTCTTCTTTCAGGAAAGGAAAAATTGAACAGCTCTACTTGAATAATTTATTTCTGTTACTCTCTGAGAAGCCACTATGGCAGTAAAATGTGACACTGATAATTTTCAAATACCTAAGTATATTTAAGAAAACTAAACTAAGGGAAAGAAAAGATATTAAGCAATGGTTCAGGATCAAGTCATCATCTGTAGGAAAAATATAAAACAGATTCAGGCCTTTCAATTTGGCTAGATGAATTGCATGACTGCAGGAGTATGGTTTCTGTAGCTGTTCTAAGAATTCTTATCCTGGGGAAATAAGTAGTACCACCACACCTGAGAGCATTGAAGTGGTCACAAAGAAGCTACTTCTATACTTTGCAATATAGAAATAAAGTAGTCAAATGAAGCTTCATTTAAATTTATCACTAACTATCTGAAAACATATCTTTTTTTAAAGAATTATTTTAAGTGTTGTGAGGTTAGCAAAAAAGCTATGATACATTTCATGTCATCATTATTTGTTACTTTGAATGTTTTTAGTATAATGGGATTGGGCAAACAGATTTATTTAAAGGTACTGATACAAAATTTAAAGCTTTCTGTATATAAATGAAATATTGTGTAACCCAAGAACATGATACCACAACAGCAAAAGCAGTATTTCATCTTCAGATGAGATTATCCAAGCTTTCAAACTGGTCTTTAGGATAAGCATTTGTATGTGCATACAGAAAGTCAGATAAAGTAACTTGCTTTTAATTATTCCCATTAAATAACAGATGTGAGCCTTAAAGAAATCTAGCTTGCAGAGGGCTTGACACCGTGTCCTCTGAAGGCAAAGCATATATTATATGGCTGAACCACAGTCTCTCATTTCTCAGCTATAAGTGGCCTTCCTTAAAACAATTTACCCTAAAACTAAGCAGCTATGTGTTCCATCCCATCACTATATAAAACATGATCTACTTTTTAGATTATTTATATAAAATTCACTAAGCCTTGTTGCATCCAAATTAAAACACGAATCACCTTCAGAATAATTTTTTTTTAAATACAGTTGGATTATACAACCATTTAATAACTCTTCTGGAAAGTATCATTAGACTATATTCATTAACAGATGGGTGTATGTAAAGTGCACACCACCATTTATGTAAATTAAAATAATTTCTTCCTTTGGGAAATAAAATGGCATAACTTTCTCGTGAATGCTATACAAATCAGTTCAGCAGCTGACCTCATGTTCATGTTTCAGTGATATTTCCTTCTATCCATGCAGACCTTCTTTGGGCTTGCTTTGCAGCTCAAGCAATGAAACTAGTCTTCAATTAATTAGTTTCCCATCTTGTTTGAACTTGGGGACAAATTTGGTTGTTGAACTGTTGTCTGAAGTTGGTTTAATTATTCAAAATCTCTCTTTGACAAGTTGTAATAAAGAAACAATTTCACAGTACTGTGCAGGAAACAATAGTCTTGGATAGTGTCTTAGCAACATGATTTAACAAGGTGAAGCATAGATACAGTTTTACTGGAGAAATTTATTATGTCATAAGGTGCTGCCCTAATAAACAGGAACACATATATTCATTTAATTCTACTCTAAGCTCTTTTGGTTTGACAGTTTCAGTTGCTACATACATTATTTGGTTCCCTCCCCCTTGACCTTGGCTAGATTTTCGTTTCAGTTATTTTCTGGCCATTCAGATCTAACCATTATTTCTGGAAGATGTGCTTCCAATTTAAAGTTCTTAAATGATGGAGGATTGTTATCCCTGTACAAACAGAAATGAAACTTGCAAATATCAAATGTTAACAGTTGTTTGTTTTGTATCTTAAATATAAACTGATTTATAAATCCAACTTAAATAAGAACCTTGTTCAAAATACCGTTGTATCTGTCAATTTGTTTTACCAAAATCATTTTTTAAATTGTGTGCTTTTCAGTTCAAGTTCAGTGGTTAATATCGTGGTCCTCTGTTGATTCTCATTTCTCGAATACTTTTGAAGGTTAATTACAGTTTTCAGTAAGCTTTTATTTCTGAAATTGATAATGGTAAACTTTCAATGAAATAAGAGATCAGTGATGTTATTATAAAACCCACATATTTTAAAATCAAAATACATTTGAGATTTGTCTTAGAGCAGAAATAAATGAACTATTTTTTCAAATTCAGTCAAGAGCTAGGCATTACTTGTCATTGGATATTTTAGTTGGATTCTGTCATACAATATGTATACATGACAATTTTTTATATATACACATACCCGTTTTGGAAACTGCTAGAAATAAATATGGCTTTCATTGTACCAGGAATTTGTTTTTCACAGTTGCAGTGAAGTTAAAACCATAGAATTGTTATCTCTTCCTGTACTGAACCTGTGACTCTTTTGCGTTGTGTGTCTGTAGGCCGAGAGTGACCGACACCTAAGTGGCCAAGACTTGTGAATATTCTGCAGCTATAATAACACACTATTGGCATGCAAAGCAGAACATCATCCCTCTTCAGGAACAAAAGTGAGGTCTGAACATACCCAGTGGCCTCGTAAATATCTGTTTACAACGTAAACAACCAGGGAATGAAGTACATCACCAGCAAGAGACTTTGCAAAATAGAGTAATTTTGTCTTAAGTGTTTTATGCTTGTATCATCTGTAGAGAGATGTAAGAGATCACATTAGATAATACTTTGTACTGCCATTCTTAATTGTATTTTTTATACTTTTGGCAGCATTAAATATTTTTTTTAATTGAAATAAAGGTGTTCGTGTATTTTTCCCCACCTCGAGAATTCTTTTGATGATACTTCAGAGGAATCCTATTTAAATTCCTTACTATTCTCAGGTGTAACCAGTATTTTCTCCATAGTTACTGACATTTATAGTGCAAACTACAGAAGTAATTATATATCTGTATTACTCCAGTGAACGAATCTCTGAGTACAATAGTCTTTCCCATTAAAATGTAACTACTTGCCTACAGCCATACCACCCTAAACACCCCCGATCTCCTCTAATCTAGAAAGCTAAGCAGGATCGGGTCTGGTTAGTACTTGAATGAGACACACACACCCTGGAATACCAGGAGCTGTAAAAAATGCAACTACTTAAAAGTCATGTCACTTCAAACCATTTTGAAAGTTTTAAAAGATTCCATGTTTTTGAACCTTATATAAGATAAAGGTAAAGGTTTCCCCTGACATTAAGTTTAGTCATGTCCAACTCTGGGGGGTGGTGCTCATCTCCATTTCTAAGCTGAAGAGCTGGTTTTGTCCATAGATACCTCCAAAGTCATGTGGCCAACGTGATTGCATGGAGCACCATTACGTCCCTGCAGAAGTGGTACCTATTGATTGACCCACATTTGCATGTTTTCAAACTGCTGGGTTGGCAGAAGCTGGGGCTGACAGCGGGAGCTCATGCTGTTCCCCAGATTGAACCACCTACCTTTTGGTCAGCAAGTTCAGCAGTTTAACCTGCTGTGCCATCAGGGCCCTACCTTTTATAAGTGTTATAAAAATAGAATAGTTTGTTGCTTTCAATTGGCAAGCAGTCTCACCCTTTATTCAGCGATTCCTGAGATTTACAGAACAGGTTTCTCCAAAACAAAGAAGAACTCAACCTAAGTAATATGAGTTCCACAATGCATCTGTTCTCAACTAGATTGCAATGTAAAGAAAATAAAATGAGAGCAAGGCTGACCAATGTACAAACTGAATAAAAATTGTTTTTCTTAATTACATTACAGGTAGGTGGACAGAAAAAACTGCTGAAATATTTCCATAATAATGTGGTAAGGGCTGTAACGCTTCAATAGTGAAGCTATAAACAAGTTATGAACTATTACAATTACTTCTCAAGAATTCAAAAGTAAAATAACATAAAACTTAAAACAATGCCGGAGGGAGTCCACTACCAAAAAGTAATTTCCAGGAACTTGGTATTTTCCATCTGGAAGAGTTAAGTGTAGAGCTTTCATTCTGCAGATTAAAAAAAACAAAGTATTACTGTTAATTAAATTTAAACACTAACATCTTTGTCTAGTCTGTAACATTCCATTACTGTGTTGTTAAGTAAACATTGTAATAAATTCTGAAGGTTTCAATTAGTTTTATCAATTTCTAAAATGTTATCCTATTGAAAAAATTGAGTAAGTGACTAAAGTAAAAGGGAAGGATTGTGCCTTGCTTTCAAATACAATATTGTTACTTCTAAAAGGTTCCAGGAACTGAAATTGGCATTTTTTGCCCAAAAATGCATTTAAGGGAATTAATAAGCAGGGAGAGTTGGATATTATTATTATTACTATTTATTTACCTCATTTATACCCCGAAGGGAACTCTGAGCTGCTTTACAAGTAGGCAGCAATTTGATGCCATATTACAAATAGTAAATTAAAATAAACATTTACATTAAAACCACAGAATTAAAACCTTTAAAAATTAAAATCACATAATCCAAGATCGTAGTCCAATGCCATTCCAGTTATCAATTGCCCATATTCCATATCCATTTATTGCACTACATTACTGATCAAAGGTTTGGTCCCATGGCCATGTCTTCACTTCATGTCTACTACTATGGCCTGCAGCCTTTAAGATTTTATGTGGGGCCAAGTGGAATCACACATGTGTCCTAGAATATGCCATACTAATTTCTGTATAGGTGGATTCAGTAATTAATATAGAAGGTTTCTTCAGAAAATATGTAGATTGAAGACCAAAATTTTGAGTATTTATTTAGGAAAGTCAAAAGCATTGGTCTCTGGTATACTGAGTGGCATTCATAATAATCAGTGTCAGCTACTTCTCCCAGTTCTATATCTACAGTCTTGATAAGGATTCCTTTCATCCTATATCAATCATTGTTAAAAAAAAATAAAAAAAATTGAAGGCTGTCAGCCCAAGGACAGTGGCACTCCACATGAGACATTCTACTTTGATACACAGCCACTGAACATGGAAATATCTCATGGTACTTTAGTTTGCTAATCAAAATATAATGGAGGGGCTTATCAACTGATTTACTGAAATCCAGATAATATCCTCAGCATTCCCATCATCCATTAAACTACTGACCTGATAAAAAAGATGTAAGCTTAAATTAGTAATATTTGTTCTCAACAAACCCAGGCTAGTTTATACTAACCACGTGTACTTACTTGCAGGGTAGTAAGATGAAGCCATTCATTAAGATAGTCAGCTAGCGCAAGGGCATCAGGGATATTGTCCCCCTCTGAGCAAAACTTCAGCAAGGCTACCATGGGAATGCCTTGTGAACAACTGGAACAAAAGCAGAACCAATCAAGTAACTGAAGAGGAAGTTCTTTATATAACGCTTCTGCTTGCATTTCAACTGTAAGTCACAGAATATTTTTCCCATATAAAAATAATCTAATTTGATAACTCCATTTTCTGCTTTTAAAAGCAAGTTAATTTCCACATTCAATCAATCATTTCATTAATGACAATCCTGCCTCGTGGACAGAGCCAAAAGTTATCTACACTGTGGGATGCACTTTTAAACTTGGATTGGCAATAAATAAACTTCATTGCACTCTAGATGAGCAATCAAGATAGTCACTGAAATATGGTGGACTATCATACTCTCAGTGAAATGTTAAACCTAAAAAAGAGCCAAGAAGCTCACCAGAAAATGAATGGATGCATCATTTGTAGAAACACAACAGATTAGAGACAGAAGTCTCAAGACTTTGTACGAAGTCTGGGGATTTAACCAGGTCTGAGAGCAAGAGCAGGATATGAAAAAGGAATAAATTTCCAAAAAATATTTGTTGCTCTCATCTGCTAAATTTCAGCTACACTATTTTTAGCAGAAAGATACATAAAGTTGAGAGATAGGCAAAAATCCATCCAAATATTAACTGTACTGAAAGACACTTTTATCCAATGTGACATTCTGAAGCTTGAGGGAAAAGTGTTCTTATTGCAATATTAGCAATGAAGAAGTGCTGAGACATGAGCACATCAAGGAATGGCACAAACACCTCAGAAATCGATCACATGAAGGGACATAATAGCAACAGAAAATGAGTAATATTTCAGGATTTTGCTGGTAAGAACAATACTTCACAAGTTAACAGACCCCACGCTGTTTTCAAAACAGTAAATTACATGTGAATAAAGCCACCTCCATTACAACTCTTGTCTAAGCAGGTTCATGGTTCTTTATCACAAATACAGTACCTAGCAAATTAAGTGTTATTGCACTTTCAGATTCATACATTTTACGATACATTACACTTTTTTGAATGACTTAAGGCCACCTGGGGGCAGTCAGGGTTTATATTAATTCAAATAAAAAGTTCAAAGGGCCATTCACAAACGGGAAGCAACATCCCTATGCCCTACCATGGCTTCCTCTTCTTCTGTTACATTATACTAACAAGACTAACCAAAGTTGAAATAAATATAAAACAAAACCTATGTGAGTTCCCCCCATTCAAAACCTGAGCGAGTAGACAACTGCATATGTGATCCCACCATGTCACAATATACTTTTAAATTTTCCCTAATCTCAAATTGTTTCGCTATATATAATGAGGTCCAAGTATTTTAGAGGCAAATATTTGAAGCCTCTTGAGCATGCACAGCTCATTCATGAACAGTTCTGAATCATGGCAAAGCCCTTTCAGAACAATGTGTTGTCGAAGACTTTCATGGCCAGAATTGCTGTGAGTTTTCCGGGCTGTATAGCCACGTTCCAAAAGCATTCTCTCCTGACGTTTCATCCACATCTACGGCAAGTATCCTGTGAGGTCTGTTGAAATTAGGCAAGTGGGGTTTATAGTCGTACAACTACCATATCAGACTACACAGAAAAGCTATTGAAATCCACAAGCATGTGGACAATTTCAACAGAAAGGAAGAAACCATGAAAATGAACAAATCCTGGCTACCAGTATTTAAAAACTCTAAAATCAGGACAGTAAAGAAAGAATAACTCTCAAAAACATTGGAATTCTAGACAAGAAACAATCAGGACCAGCGAATCACCTCCCAACAAAGGATTCCCCCAGGCAGGAAGCAGCCAAGCTTTGAAGCTGCAAGGCTATTCAATGCTAATCTAGGTGATGAATTGAAACATTCACACTTGCCTCCAGCATACAAGAGTTCTTTCTCCCAACCCTGGACATTCTACAGATATATAAACCCCACTTCCTAGTATCCAACAAACCTCACTACCTCTGAGGATGTCTGCCATAGATGTGGGCGAAACGTCAGGAGAGAATGCTTCTGGAACATAGCCATACAGCCCGGAAAACTCACAGCAATTCTTTTAGAACAATTCCACATCAACTATTATATGCAGTACCAATGGTTGGGGACATAATTATTATACACAGTAGTACCGAAAGACAGAGAAGGATGCTGACAGCAACTCTTACCAATTCAAATCCCAAAGATCGTTTGCAAAACTATTTTTTAAATTGCCTCACCAACCTCTCTGTGAATAATCGTTTTGTGATTCCACCTCCTGGAATATAGAACATCTTATTGTCATCATTTACTCCAGGAAAAGCTGCTACTTGCTCTAATTCTTTGCCACTTAATCTCTCCATTACGTTTCCAATCGTTTTTTCAACAGCGGGTGACAACAAGTATCGTAGTGAGGTACTGCCAACAAACCATAACATATGTACATCAGCTGCAAAAGCTTTCAATTGTGACTTTTAAAAAAAATTGCAAGTTGATTATTAATTGATTACTAAGTCAGCAAGTAGTGAGAAAAGCTAGTGAGAAGACGCAAGCTTCTAAAGTAAGCCATGTTTCCTTTGATTACTCATCACTAAGGAATGTTAAAATACAGAATTTCACACATTTCACACATATCGGACCTAATTCAAGAATTCATTATTTAAGAAAACTACTGAATTCATGAAAGAAATATGGGCTTTCATAAAACTACACTTACAACCTCCCCCTAAAAACATTGAGCTGAATCCACACTTCTTATTTTGTGAGTAGATCCACAATTAGCAACCCTCATTTATTTCAGTAGGTCCATTCTGGGTACAACTAAATCTAAATTCAACTCATTTCATGTTATGAGATCTAGACTGAGTGTAGTTAAGATAATAGTACTCTCAACTACCACTTTTAAGATTAAAACTCAGATTATTAATGGACAAGGCCATCTAGAGTACTGAGATAAAAATTACAGTAAACAAATGTATTATGTTGTTGAAGGCTTTCATGGCCAAAATCACTAGGTTGGATTGCTGTGAGTTTTCTGGGCTGTTTGGACATGTTCCAAGATGCTTCTGAACATGGCCATACAGCCCGGAAAACTCACAGCAACCCAAATGTATTCTTAACGCACAACTTCCAACAATAAGCCACTTTGGGTAGTACATATTTGAGTATGCACACCATGCCACAATAACATCATGTACAGAGACATACCCGTGAAGTTGTTGATCATTGCGTTGGTAAGCATGACTGCTGGACAAAAGAACAACTTTGGCAAATTCACAATTTTTCACCCAGGCAAGAATTGCTTGACAGAAGGATCTGTATTTATTCTTGAACATCAAAATGAGAAACAAATAATTAGAACTTTTCATGAAATGATATAATAATTCTTCAGTGACTTAAAATTTTGAAAATATCTCTTTGTGTAGTTCTAAAAGTTCCATCAGCTATGTTTCTTGAATTTTAAAAGATTTTATGAACATGGAATTGTTCAAAGAAATTTTGGCAAGTCAAATAATCAAAGAAAGCTGATGAAAGCAAGGCAGTCCAGGCAAACATGGTGAATATGACAGCCCGAAGTATGTATATCACAATGACCTTCATAGTAATATCAGTGGGCAAAAAATAAAGGGACAGTGCCAAGTCTGTCATTAAGCAGAATAACTTCCCAGGCAGATTTTGATTTTAAAATGGTTGGTCTTTTATTAATGTTTTTATTATATTTTAGTGTCAGGGGAGGGTTCAAATCCAGGAAGCGGGGTGAGCTCCCATCTATCAGCTTCAGCTTCTCATGCGGGGACATGAGAGAAGTCTTCTACAGGATGATAAAAACATCCAGGCATCCCCTGGGCAATGGCCAATTCTCTCACACCAGAAGCGACGTGTAGTTTCTCAAGCTGCTCCTGACAAACACATGAACATATAGATGGGGAGGTAATTTGTTCAAACCAATGCCAAAAAAGACATTCATGCACTAAATGAGCCACAGCTCATGGTGTAAGAGACATCACAGGAACATCAGTTCTATTACCCTCTTAACAAAGCAAAAAGTGAAATCTGCTGCACATATTCATCATGGCTTTCTTGTATAGTGTTGCAATAACATTATATGTAAACATATAGGATTTTTTAAAAGTGAGGCATTCTTACATCGTCCCTGTATAATTTCACACCTTAAATAATTCTCCCCACTCCCATCCCCCCAAAACTGGAATGGACAATAAATACAGAAAAGGCACTTAGATCAACTTGTCACACTTAATTTATTTTTGGAATAACATCTTAAGGCAGTTGTGTAAATCACGAATTCTGAAAATGTAAAACAACTTAAAGCCTTAATCTATATATATAAAATCCGAAGTGGCGTCCAACGGGGAAGCAAAACTCAAAAAAACGTCAACAGAAATCAACCAAAATTCCCATGTACCTTCCTTAACCCACTAGGTACAAACAAACAGAATCAGAATTAAGAACAACAAAACAACACATCCACAAAACGACAAAACAACTGAGCATGCGCAATGGCGGCCAGCCGCCAGTTCCCCCGTGCGCACAACTGAGCATGCGCAATGGCGGCCAGCCGCCAGTTCCCCCGCGCGCGCACATGGCCTGCCGGCCAACGCTCTCTCCACGAAGCCCCGCCCCCATCCTCCCTCGCCGCGCAAAGCCGGAGAGCCTAAGTTAGCTTACGTGGAGCCCTTTGCCCATGCAGCCTTCCCTCGGCAGGAAAAAAAGCCCCAGCCGACGGGAGGAGAGAGCAGCAAAAGAGGCGAGTGCTGGGAAGGGAACGGAAAGGCGGGGGGGGGGGGGCATCCTCCATGCTCCTTCACTCCTCCTCCCCAAAGCCGAAGCCCCGCCCACTCCAAGCCCCGCCGCGTCGCATGCCGCCTCAAAGCCTGCTGGGAAAGCAGCAGCAATGGAGCATTCACGGAGCATCCACGCAAGGAGGGGGGAGGGGGAGGAGGAAGGTCCACGGTGCTTGAATGAAGGACCTTCATCTCTCCCTCCCTTCCCTTCTTTCCTCCCTTTCCTTCCTTCCTTCCTTTCCTTTTCTTCCTTCTCCTTCCTTTCCTTCTTTCCCTCCTTCCCTTCCTTCCTGTCCTTCCTTCCTTTTCCTTCTTTTTCTTCCTCCTTCTTTCCCTTGCTTCATTTCCTTCCCTCCCTCCTTTCTTCCCCTCCTTCCTTCCTCCTTCCTTCCTTCTCCTCCCTCCCTCCCCATTTCCTTCCTTCCTGTCCCTTCTTCCTTTCCTTCTTTACCTCCCTCCTTTTCCTCCTTTCCCTTTCTTCATTTCCTTCCCCTTCATTTCCTTCCCTCCCTCCTTCCTTCATCCCCCTCCTTTCTCCTCTCCTTCCTTCCTCCCTTCCTGTCCCTCCTTTTTTTCCCTTCCTTCCTTCCTTCTCCTCCCTCCCTCCCCATTTCCTTCCTTCCTGTCCCTTCTTCCTTTCCTTCTTTTCCTCCCTCCCTTTCCTCCTTCTTTCCCTTTCATTACCTTCCCCCTCATTTCCTTCCCTCCCTCCTTTCTTCATCCCCTCCTTCCTGCCTCACTCCCTTCCTGCCTCTCCTTTCTTTTCCTTCCTTCCTGTCCCTCCTTCCTTCCTTCTTCCTTTCCTTCTTTCTAAGAGATAAATACAATATTAAATGGAAGGGACAGTCAAGAAGTAACAAGAGGAGGGAAAAAGGGAAGGAAGGAAGGAGAGAAGCAGGGAGGGAAAGAAGGAAAGAAAGAAAGAGAAGCAAGAAAGGAGAGAAGGAACAAAAGATAGGGAAGGAAGGATGTAACCAAAGAGCAAAGAAAGGGAGGAAAGAAACAGGTAGAGACGGAAGAAAGATAAGAGATAGGGAAAGAAAAAGAAGAAAGGAAGGAAAGGGAAAGAAGGAGAGAAAGAGGGAGGGAAGGTTGGCCACAGCAATGCGTGGCGGGTACAGCTAGTCTTATTATACATTTGCTCAGGAGTGTCAATTAATATCAAAATGTACTATATGTACTCACTCATTTATAAGTTGATCTCATATATAAGCTGAGGACAAGTTTTGTGGCCAGAATTATGAATTTTGATATGAACCGTGGATAAGTTGACAGATCTTTCTGGAATGTTTTTAAAGGTATTTAAACATAGAGTAGGATGAATCCTAATTAAGACAATCTTGATTACCCAGCAGAAGAAAACAAGATACCTACTTTTTCTCTGGAATGTAATAATACAAAGAAAACACTCATACCTTGATGAATGGAGATCTGAGTTGCAAAACCACCAGTTCTTTAGAAGGAGCTGTATACACTAAGAAAAGCATATAAACAGTATATCAAGATCAACCTTAAGTTACATTTGTCTTTAGGAATATGCGATGAACCAGTAAGAGTTTTACAGTTATGTCTTGACTGAATTTTACCAATGTATTGAAAGTTTAAATACAGGCTGATTATTCCTTATCTGAATATTATCCGAATATGCTTGGAATCAGAAATGTTTTGATTTCAGATTTTGGAATAGTTGCATACACTTGAGATATCTTGGAAATGAGGCCCAAGTTTAAATACAATATTCATGTATGTTTCATATACACCTTACACACTTTGGCCTGACAGCAATTTTATGTTAGTGTACACTGAGCCAGCAGAAAGCAAAGATGTCACCATCTCAGTTACCCATGTGGATAATTTTAGATTCTAGAGTACTTTTGATTTTGAATGTTTGAATAAGGGATAGGTAAAGGTTTCCCCCTGACATGAAGTCCTAAATGGAATTGTTTTGCAGAAGAATAAAACCTTCTTCTTTTTCTTTCTTTCTGATTACAAGTTCACCTTGACAGTCTGAACAAACTCATGATGTTGTTACTGGTTAGATAATGCAGATTGTGTATCCATTATCCAAAATGCTTGGGAGAAGAAATATTTCTGATTTTTAAAATTTTGGAATACCTGTAAAAAAGGTAAAGGTAAAGGTTTTCCCCTGATATTAAGTCCGGTCGTGTCCGACTCTGGGGAGTGGTGCTCATCTCTATTTCTAAGCCGAAGAGCCAGCGTTGTCCGTAGACACCTCCAAGGTCATGTGGCTGGCATGACTGTATGGCGCGCCGTTACTTTCCCGCCGGAGCGGTACCTATTGATCTACTCACATTTGCATGTTTTCGAACTGCTAGGTTGGCAGAAGCTGGGGCTGACAGCGGAAGCTTTCACCGCCCCCCGGATTCGAACCTGCAACCTTTAGGTCAGCAGCTCAGCACTTTAACCCACTGCGCCACCGGGGGCTCGAATAAGGGATACTTAAGCTGTATTTTATTGAGACTTCATGGAATATCCAATTAAGACCATTTGAATATCTGTACTATACAGGGAGAAAAGCATGTTTATACACTTCCCATTTTAATGTATGATTCTCGGTATTAATAGTATAAGCAATTATGTACTATCCCTTTGGAAGAATTGTGTGCTAATATATACAATCTGAATGAGAAATGTTGCTGAAAACTGTAATATCCACATCAATTAGTGCTGGAAAGCAGCGATAATTCACTTCAGATACTATTTCTCATATACTATTTTTATACAGCAAGGAGTTAAAATGCTAAAATTCATTCTGAAAAGAAGGGTGTTTCTCTGGAGAAGACACAACAAGGAGCCCAAGTTAGCACCCAACATTACATTCAATGTACTTACCTTCAGCATTTATACACAGCTCTGTTGCATTCTCTTCTGTTGTTGCATATGGATTATTTCCAATCATTGGCACAAGACAATCAGTATAAAAGTACCCAACTTTAGACATGTCAAGGGTGGAAATAACTAGATCTACAGCCAGCTGGCCAACATTCCCCACCGATACCGCGGGCTGAAATGACATAACAGATGCATGCGAGTTACATCATCTCAAAAAAATGACTGATTTTCAAATTTAAAAAACATGTTAGTTGAACACTGAACATTATTAACCATTTCTATTGAGTCCCCTTGGGGAGATAGGGCAGGTTATTATTATTAGCAGTAGTGGTATTAACACATTTCAGCTGTCAAACCACAATACTGTTGTTGTTCATTCGTTCAGTCGTCTCCGACTCTTCGTGACCTCATGGACCAGCCCACGCCAGAGCTCCCTGTCGGCCGTTACCACCCCCAGCTCCCTCAAGGTCAGTCCAGTCACTTCAAGGATGCCATCCATCCATCTTGCCCTTGGTCGGCCCCTCTTCCTTTTGCCTTCCACTTTCCCCAGCATAATTGTCTTCTCTAGGCTTTCCTGTCTCCTCATGATGTGGCCAAAGTGCTTCAACTTTGTCTCTAGTATCTTTCCCTCCAGTGAGCAGTCGGGCTTTATTTCCTGGAGGATGGACTGGTTGGATCTTCTCGCAGTCCAAGGCACTCTCAGAACTTTCCTCCAAACCACAATACTATAGTAAAGTAATGCCAAAGTAATTTATAGCAAAATGTACACATTCGGATTATCATTATTACTATGTTTATTTACACCCCACAAAGGAGACTCAAAGCAGTTTGTATTAGTATATTTTATAATGTTTTGGAGAAAAAAGTAATGTGGCTGCTATTTACCAATTTTAAAAATGGTATCTGCTTGTTCAGATAATTGTCCTTTTAATCGAACTGAGGCGAAAGGGTATCAAATCCTTTTTAACACAAAGAGACAGGATTCTTCAGCAATTATTATATACATAGTTTTGCTAGCAATCTTACACATAGGTTGTGGTGAGCTTTTCAGGTTGTATTACCATGTTCCAGAAGCATTCTCCCCTAACATTTTGCCCACATCTATGGCAGGTGTCCTCAGAGGTTGTGAGGTCTGTTGGAAATTAGGACAGTGGGGTTTATATATCTGTGGAATGTCCATGGTTGGAGAAAGAACTCTTCTCTGTTTGAGGAAAGTGTGAATGTTGCAACTGGAAGCTTGATTATCATTGAATGGCCTTGTAGCGTCAAAGCCTGGCTGCTAGCTGCCTGAGGGAATCCTTTGTTGGGAGGTGTTAGCTGGCTGATTGTTTCCTGTCTAGAATTCCCTTGTTGTTTGAGTGTTCCTCTTTATTTACTGTCCCGATTTTAGAGTTCTTTTTTAAAAAAAATACTGGTAGCCAGATTTTGTTCATTTTCATGATTTCGTCCTTTCTGTTGAAATTGTCCACATGCTTTTGGATTTCAATGGCTTTGCTGTGTAATCTGACATGGTAGTTGTTAGAGTGGTCCAGCATTTCTGTGTTCTCAAATGATATTCTGTGTCCAGGTTGGTTCATCAGGTGCTCTGCTATGGCTGACTTCTCTGGTTGAATTAGTCTGCAGTGCCTTTCATGTTCCTTTATTCGTGTTTGGGCAATGGTGCATTTGGTGGTCCCTATGTAGACTTGTCCACAGCTGCATAGCGAGAGGATCCCTTTTGTCCATATGTATTCTTGACATACATCAAGGGAACCACTGACCGCATAGGAACCCTGATAAAGAAAACCTACAAACTGGGTTGTTGTACGTTTTTCGGGCTGTATGGCCATGTTCCATAAGCATTCTCTCCTGATGTTTCTCCTGAAACTTACAGACAACTCTGCTCCTGTATGCTTGTCCACTATGCCCTGCCTCATGTACAGAGGAAGAACTGTTGGAGGTTACAGACAATGCTATTGCTGTTGCCTGTTTTTGGTCAAAAGATGTTTAGCCGCCTGTGCTCCTTCTATTTTTATCAGTTTTACACTAATTTATGCAATGCTTTTGATATGAAATAAATAAATCCTGAGACTTGAAACTTCTAGGCCATTAAATGCTAATCAAGGTGGCCAATTGAAAATTCACACCTACCTCCAACAGACAAGAGCTCTTTCTCCCACCCTTGACCTTCCACAGATACTTTTTAAAAAATGCGTGCCATTCAGTCGGTTGAAGACGTAACGGAGTTCTAGTGGTCTCGTTCGAGAGGCGGGAGTATAAAGCTTTGTCCTGACACAGTTCAGTCGCCTCATGCATTGGAACAGTTAGGAGCGTGCTTTTGCCATTGAGGCCTACTTTTCGAGCGGATTTGGAGTGGCCGGCCCGGTCTCCAGATTTGGCCCCTTGTGATTTTTTTCTATGGGTTTTTTTGAAATCCCGTGTTTATGTGAACCGTCCAAGGACCCTACAAGATTTGAAGACCAACATCCAGGAAGAAATTGCCAACATAAAGCTGCTATGCTGGCAAGAGTCATGACAAACGCCAGAAATTGGTTTACTCGGTGTATGGAGAATGGAGGACGTCACCTACCTAATTTGATCTTCAAAACTACATAAAACAAAACTTTAGGTATTCGCCTACATAATATATTTAAAAAATTCCGATTCATACAATGGGTTTTATTAAGTTTTGAAAAAAGAAAGTTATGCTGCCTCACCCTGTATATAAACCCAATTTTGCTAGTTTCCAACAAACCTTACAACCTCTGAGGATGCCTGCCATAGATGTGGGCGAAACGTCAGGAGACAATGCTTCTGGAACATGGCCATACAGCCTGAAAAATTTATTTATTTGTTTGTTTATTTAAAAGTGTTGTATACCGACCTTCTCACCACTCTTGAGGGACTCAGACTGGTTTCCGACCATAATATCACATACAGTCAATAAAACATCATAATTCATATTACAGTAAAACATTAAAACAGCAATTACATTCAATAACTACAATGGTCAGTCGTCACACTAAAATCGTTGTTCATCATCCTCCATCCGTATCTCAGGGTATTGGTTCACTCGTCGAATGCCTGTCTCCATAATCACGTCTTCACCTGTTTCCTAAATGTCAGGATAGAAGGGGCGGTTCTGATCTCCACTGGGAGAGAGTTCCAGAGTCAAGGGGTCACCACCGAGAAGGCCCTGTCCCTTGTCCCCACCAGATGCGCTTGCGAGGCCGGTGGGACCGAGAGCAGGGCCTCTCCAGACCATCTTAATAATCTTGATGGTTCATAGGGGAGAATACGTTCGGAGAGGTAAACAGGGCCGGAGTCGTTTAGGGCTTTATAGCCCTAAACAAACAACAACCCAGTGATTCCGGCCATGAAAGCCTTCGATGATATACCTACAAACTATCTATAGACCCATTAAGAAAACCCCGCAAATGCTACATTCAGCAAAAGACAAGAGGTATCCTCTCAGTGGTTCTCCACCTGTGGGTCCCCAGATGTTTTTGGCCTACAACTCCCAGAAATCCCAGCCAGTTTACCAGCTGTTAGGATTTCTGGGAATTGTAGGCCAAAAACATCTGGGGACCCCAGGTTGAGAACCAGTCTAACCACTGCAGGAATCTCACCAAAATTATAGCTCCCATCTTCCCATAGCACTGCGCCATGGTGTCAAACTGCATTAAATTCTACGAAAGGGTATCAAATCCTTTTTATCCCATAGCGTTGTCAAACTGCATTAAATTCTACAGTGCAGATGAGCCCTTAAAGGGGCACACACACACTCCCTCCCTCCATATCTTAGGTAGAGACCCCTCCTCCTCCTCCTCCCACGCCTGACTCAATGCCACGCGCCCGCTCGCGCGTTGCCCGGGCAACGGCGGGTTGGGCGCTCTCTCCGGCCGTCTCGCGCCGCGCAGGGAAGGAACTGTCCATTACCATTAGCAGCGTGCAGCCTTTGAAGTCAGTGGGCGCGCGGCCCTCGCAGGGAACGAACATTCTATCCAAGACGCTGACTGGACGCACCGCAGGCCTACACAAGAGTTCCTTTTGGTAGCGAGAGCAAGGGGCCTTTCTTGTTCACCGCCACGGAGAGGTGTCTAGCACAGTGCCTGTCCCCATCTGCGCTTACTGACAGCCAGTTAACGGGCGCGGGACAGTTCCTTTGAAGGAAAATTACATTTTTGCTGTTGTTGTCTAACAAGACTCGATTGTCTTGCCATCAGGCAATTTTGGTAGACACCTTTTTTTTTGAAAGGCGGTGGAGGCCCGAGCAAGCGCATGGCTAGCTGTGGGAGGGGCCGAGTTTGCTGATTGGCTGGAGATCCAGCCAATGGGTGCTCTTGGGAGGGGGGAGACGGGATAGGCGGTTTGAGCGCGCGGGAGAACGGAGGAGTGTGGTGTTGTGGTTGGAGGCGCCTGGGATGAAGGCCTGTCTGGTGTCCATTTAGTCTAAGGAATTGGGACAGTTGCTGAGCCATGGCCTTGGCTCCCGGGAAAGCCTCAGAGCTCAAGCAGATCATTCACCAGCAGCTGACCAAGGTGAGAAGGAGGAGGAGGAAGAGAAAATGCCCATTGAAAGCCTTTATAGCAGGCTTGGGCCAACTTGGGCCCTCCAGGTGTTTTGGACTTCAACTCCCAGAATTCCTAACAGCCTCAGGCCCTTTCCTTCCCCCCCCCCTCAGCCGCTTAAGCTGAGGCTGTTAGGAATTCTGGGAGTTGAAGTCCAAAACACCTGGAGGGCCCAAGTTGGCCCATGCTTGCACCATAGGAAGTCCACAGTTTGGGGATGGCTGCTACAGATGGTTGAATCAATGGATGCAGAGGGTGGGTGTATATACAAGGGATCCGTTTTGTTGTAGATACTAGTAGTTCGCACGCATACCGCAATGAGCGCGTGCATGCCTCGGGAACAACTCAGCCGTATGTGATATGGTTTTTGTCAGCAAGGAACCTGAACGGTCCTCATCATGGACGTTGTCACGGCCATCTTTGAATTGTCGTACCCACTTACGCACTTTGCTTTCACTCATAACAGTATCACCGTACACTTCACAAATCTGTCGATGGATTTCTGCAGCAAGCAGGTTCCTTGCTGACAAAAACCGTACCACTGAGTGAACCTCACATGCAGAGGGTGAGTTGATAGTCTTAAACATTTTTAAAGCACAGAACAGAACCGTACAGGTTAGCTACAGAGCGGAAACTGAGCACAGTTGTTCCTGAGGCATGCCGGTACACAACGCACGCGCTAGTTGCGGTATGCGCGCGAACTACTAGTGTCTACAACAAAATGGATCTTACTTAAAAAATACCCCTCGTAATAACAGTGGAATTAAAAAAATAAGCAAATAAGCAAAAGTGGGAATCCCACTGAACTATGGCTTATGAGCAGGAATAATCGAACCTGATACTCTCCATCTTTGGTTTAAATCTGAAATTGGCTTGGTCTGAAATAGTCAACTATACACCAAGGCTGGTTTGGCTGCCTTTGTTTATTCAGTTGGACCTTCATGCCAGTTTATTCTGCATTCTTGAATTTCAACATCCATGGCTTAAAAATACTCTCCCCACCCCCAAAATCCAAACCGCAGACCTTGATTTTATCATTTTATATAAGGAACACCACTTTATTATGCCACTGTATATCATGGGACTTGAGTATCCATGACTTTTGGTATCTGCAGGAGGACCTGGAACCAAACCCTAGCAGATACCAAGGGCCCACTGTACTTATTTATTTATTTACGGCATTTATATGCTGCCCTTCTTACCCCAAAGGGGACTCAGAGCGGCTTACAGGATATATGCATACAATATATTGTATTGTATTGTATTATTAGCATAGTACAATATCAATATTAACTATTACTATATTGTACTACACCATAATATTGTAATATTATTAATAATATTACATGTAATATAAATGTATACTTATATTATTAGTATTATTTCTTCATAGATGGATGTCCACAGCAGGGTCCGAGAAGTCCTTGCTGAGACTATTCGTGAAGAACTGGCACCTGAACACCAGCAACTCTCAGAAGAACATCTAATGAAAGCCCTGATACGGAGAGGAATCATTGATGATGTTATGAAAGAACTCAGCTTTGTAACTGTGAGTAGTTTGAAGAAAACATCTGAAATGGTACCAGATATTGATTACATAATACAGATAAGGTAAAGGTAAAGGTCTAGTCATGTTCGACTCGGGGGGTTGGTACTCATCTCCTTTTCTAAGCCGAAGAGCTGATGTCTGTAGACACCTCCAGGGTCATGTGGCCAGCATGACTGCTGCAATACTTAAAATCATGTCTGGTGACGGGCATATACGGTCATTTTAAGTTTGACAGAAAAGGGAACATCACTTTGTGAGTTATCTTCCTAACTTATCTAGGGATATTGCAACTCTGGATGCAAGTTAAACCCCTTGCTGGCTAACCATTCTATGTAAGGTGTTTTTAAAAAAATGGAATTAATTTGAAATTGCTATATTTCTGCAACCACAAAACGCCCATATTTCTATCTTGAGTTTCAAATTATTACTGCTAGATGCCTCTCTTAGCACACAAACAAAAGAATCAGTCATTTGCAAGATGACAGTACTGCAACACAAGGCTTAATGAGATAGTCTCCATTTGTGTAGTTATTTTTTAAGTTTGTTTCTGGATCAAAATGATTAATAAAACTAGATATCTTATTAAAATGCATGTAACTTTTTGTGTAATTATAACATGTTGCTGTTGTGAAATAAACTGCTTTGAAATTGGGTTCATCATTTTGAAACACCCTGTAGATTAGAGGTATGAAAAATTACATTGGCAACAGCCAATACAAGTACGTAGATCACAGCCATCCCACTTCTGTGAACAGCATCAATCAGTGTGAGGTGTTACCAATTCTACGTATTATTCACGTAGTCATGCTGCCTAAATAATGACAAGTAGCCCGAGGAACTGTCTTATAGACTAGATGCTATTTTCATAATTTTATTTCATAACAGTGTATCTTAGAGATTGTATAATTTGAACTATTGAAGACTGCTTTGGCATTTTCAGAATGTGTTCTGTTGAGTTAAAAGGACATGATTGCAAGGGTGTGTTGAATGTGTGCTTATCTCTATATAATCCTAGGATATGAACAGTGGTGAAATAAGTTCACCTCCAAAACCTTCAACACACTTCATTGATACACAACCAGCGGTGCTGAAAAAAAGTAGGTTATATGCTATTTTTACAACATTTCATTTACTGCTTTTTAGATGCTTTATGTGCAAAGTAAGACATAATTTATATTCTTTTTAAAGTAGGTTAGAAGTATCTTCCTTCTGCTTTGATTTATTCTTTTGTCAGCAGTGTTGCCATTTCTCTGATGATCTGTTTTCATAGTGGATTTGATCTTAATACATGAATCCTGTAATACATGAATGGGGAATCTGGGATTTCAGTCAAATGCAAATAAAATTATTTCTCTTTAATGTATGCTATCAGGATCAAATAGGAAAGGAATTTTAATATTCACAATGACTTTTATGTAACTGTACTTTACAGTTACTGACTAGTCCTAACTATTAATGCAAAATATATTTTGTACAAAACTGTTTGTGATTCTTTCCTATTTATTGGTACACTTTGCAGCAAATATTGACCCAACACGGAGGTATCTTTACCTTCAGGTTCTGGGTGGGAAAGCTTTTCTGGAACATCTGCAGGAACCAGAGCCTTTACCTGGTCAAACTTGTTCTACTTTCACCCTCTGTTTACATTTTCGAAATCAACGTTTCCGCTCTAAACCGGTGCCATGTGCCTGTGAACCAGATTTCAGTGATGGCTTTCTACTTGAAGTATATAAGGATACCTTAGGTAAGAAAATCTGAAGTGTGACAGGAATAATATTGAGTTCTCCTTTGGGGATATTAGCATTCCTTTTTCTTTTCTTTTTCCTTTTGCATCTAGAAGTATTGTCACACACATAAAGGTTTCATTGCAGTTATCCACATTGGCAAGATTAATTAGTCATGGCTGATTTGTAGACCTCATTTTGAAAAAAAAATGTAAACTTCAATTCAAAACCACTTGTTTTACAAAAAATAAGCTTCTGCGCAGGATTGCTGTGAGTTTTCTGGGCTGTATGGCCATGTTCCTTCTACACACACTTTTTGTTATTTGTTTCGTCACTATCATGTTATTCTCATCATGAGAGATAATACACTAATAATAAGCCCAAAAATGTGTAAATATAAAGAACATATTCACATAATCTTGTGAGTTTGTTTGTATAGGATTATCTTGAAGATTTTACAGGAATAGTCTGTCTCCCAAAAATGGACAAAAGGGGGGTTTCACCTTGTGCTGGTATTGGATGAATATTCTTGTTCACATGTGTATGGATGTAACAGCAGATTGTATACTTGCAGCAGTTGATGTGTATCTCATGTATTTGCCTTCATAAAAAATAGACTCCACCTTCTGACTCTTCATGAAACTGCAGCCATATCCTCTCATATATATATACACACACACACATCAAATCTGTCTAGCCCTCATCTTTTGGTAGGATGTCCAGCACTTTATTCCCAGTCCCGGCCTTACAGATTATGTTGCACTAGCTCTTTCCTGCCCCATTAGTCCCAAATCTGCACATGCCCACTTTTCTTGGCCATTGGTTGCTTGCTGTTGGGTTATGTCTTATGGTGTTTTAGATTTTATTGGTTTTATTTTTTAATATATTTGATTGATATTTTTAATTTTGTCATTTTGTAACTTTGTTTATATTGGGTTTGGTCCCTATGTAGCCTGCCCAAAGTCCCTTCGGGGAGATGGAGGCAAGATATAAGAACAAAGTTGTTGTTGTTGTTGTTGTTGTTGTTGTTGGAACTTATGAAAATCCATGGAACCTGTTGCTTAATAGACAAAATCAGTGCTGTAATTTTGGATAGAAAGGATTCAGTAGGAAGTGAAGTGCTTACTTCTTTCCCCTTCAGCTGTTTTTCTACTCAAAATTTCTCCATGTCATAGTTGCTTTTCTTAGGCAATATTAACCAGCTCTGGTTGTTTTTTGTTGTAAATTTGATACGTATGTCATAATTTGGACTCTTTAAGTCATTTTTCAAAAGTGTAATGGCAATATGTCTGGGGATTTGACTAGACTCTTCATCTGTTTTGATATATTGACAGGTGAAGGAAGTAAAATGGTGGATGCAACCACTATGCTTTCAATATGTGATCCAGTGCACATTGTCTTGATCAAAACAGATACAGCTGGTGAGACAACATTAGTTGCCTCTTATTTCTTAGAGTGGCGGTCAGTCCTGAGTGCAGAGAATAAGATAACAAATATTGCTGTTGAACTTCTGGGTGTAGGTAAGCTTTAAAAATATATTACTGTAAAATATAGTAAAATATAAAGAATAACACCAGATTAAATTAAAAAAGGAAGATGGGAATAGTAAAATTGAAAGTTGGTTTCAAACAGTTTATTAAGCAATTTGAGCTGTAAAGTTTATCACTCTTGAAAGAGGAAACAATGTCACCCAGGATACAACTTCCAACATTTTTTCCCTCAAAAGCCTGTTGTTTTCACAATAAAGCCAGGTTCTTTCCTTTCACTACTTTCTAGTAATACATATTAATCTCATATAATTTAAAATTCTGCTTTGGAAAACGGGCACAGTATTCTTTGTAATTCAGATAAGACTATAAGGGAATGTGGTTACCGCAAAGATTTTATATTTCCTAAATTTAATTAGAAGAGAAAATGTATGTCTTTTGTGTGGTTTCTGAAAAACTGACCTATTAAAATGTCTATTTATATTCTTATCAAACAAATATCTTTTGGTCCAAAGGTTCAGAATCAAAGGTTTCAGTGGGAGTACTGAACATCAGACTCGAAATGTACCCAAAACTAAATAAGATACTTTCTCAGGAAATAGTCAGTACTCAAGTAAGTCTTAACATTTGGGGGGGACGGGACACAATCAAGGTTAACATATAAATTTATATATTTTAAAATGCAAATCAGATTGCTTTTATACCATTTGAAACAGTAAAAATTGAGTTTGTTGTTGTGTGTAAAAGTTCTGCTGAAATACAGTTGTCTCCCTCTTTATTCTTAAAAATGTGGTATTGCAATGAATAGGAAACATGGAATAACTGAGCACTACTGTGGTTCATGTATCGATGTATTTAGTTTGGAGAATTAAGAGAACAAAATTTATGCAGCATTTGTTGCATTTTCTGCCTGTTCATCTCATTCTGTTCTTCATCAACATTACCATCCTAATGCACCCCCGGTGGCGCAGTGGGTTAAACCCCTGTGCCGGCAGGACTGAAGACCGACAGGTCGCAGGTTCAAATCCGGGGAGAGGCGGATGAGCTCCCTCTATCAGCTCCAGCTCTTCATGCGGGGACATGAAAGAAGCCTCCCACAAGGATGATAAAAACATCAAATCATCTAGGCGTCCCTTGGGCAATGTCCTCGCAGACAGCCAATTCTCTCATACCAGAACCGACTTCCAGTTTCTCAAGTCGCTCCTGACACGACAAAAAAAAAAACCCATTCTAAATCTTATGTAATATCTTTTAACTGAAAAAGAGCTATCCTTAATCCTCATTGCTTGATGTATCCCATACTGGAAGGGTAAATCTGAAACAAAATTTGGCTTTTTGGGAAGGAAATATTATATTGTCCTGATACTTGCAATTTAATATTATTGCAACTGTAACTGCAATTTTGAAGAAAATAGTTGTCACCAGGCATTTTTTCCAAGTGTGAAACTGTTACAGATGGAGTATCTGTACTCCAAAATATTGTTGCTTGCAGTATCAAGAAGTAGTCTGTAACAATACATTTTAAAACATCTTATCCATTATCTTGCTTATTGTTGATATCACAAAGACATACGTACAAATATGTTTTAAACAGGCTTTTTCTTAAGTCAGATTGAATGAAAATGTCTCGGATTTTTCATCTTCCGTTTTAATTCAGCTTCCTTTCTTAAGCTACCCTTGAATTATTTCTTTAGATTAAATTCAAAATTAAGTAACTGAATTTTGTTTACATGGAGGAAATCTCCTTGCCTTCTTTCTTTCTGGACACCCACCATCTGCTCTGTGAGTTTCCTCATCATATATGAAACCCTATCTTCAAAACCTTGGAGAGGTTGTGAGGAATCTAACTGCACATGTGGTGGGATTGTGTAGAGGTAAAATATTCTCAAATGAAGTTTTTCCTGGAATGTAATACAATGATTCTATTTTGCAAAATTGCTAACATGTGCTGAAAACTAAAATGATATAGTAAAACTGGAAAGGAAACATGAGCTGTGCAGTGGATTAACTATGGACTAACAAACAATTACCAAAGCAAGTAAATATATTAGGGCAGAGAACAGTAATATAACTGCCTTTATTTTAAAAATTCAGTGACATAGTCATATTATTCTGCATGAAAAGATGTAAGGGAATCCTGGAGCATATTTTGAAACAAGTTCCAATTCAGTGGTTCTCTGCCTGTGGGTCCCCAGGTGTTTTGGCCTACAACTCCCAGAAATCCCAGCCAGTTTACCAGTTGAGGGCCAACACATCTGGGGACCCAAAGATTGAGAATCACTGTTCTAATCAGATGCATGGAATGAGAGCCATCACTGTGTATTGGATCCTTATCTGGCTTATGTAGAATTGGTCAAATGGATAGAGGGAATGGCAAATGCTTCACTGAAAAAAGGGACGTTTCCATCCTGACTAAAGGCTGCAGTTAAGCTGTTACTCAAGAAGTATTTCTTAGATCTCACATTTCTGAATAAATGTTGGCCTATCCATACCATTCCATTTTTGGATAAGGCTGTACAGTATCTGGTGACCTTCCGGTTCTAGGGGCTTCTGGGTGAGGCAGAGTATCTATATTTTAGTCTGGTTTTAGACCTGATTATGAGACAGAGTCTTGGTTGTCTGGTGGATGGCTTTTGCAGAGAACTGAACAAGGGAAATACATCCCTATAAGTTCTACTGGGCCGCAGCAGTTTTTGATACCATTCACCATAATATCACTGCCTCTCTGGAGTGGGATACACCTCTGGATTGAACTCTGATCCTTGATTTCCAGGTTTGAACACTGATGAGCAGTGACTTTGCATAGATAAAACTAGTGTGCCAGTTGCAACTGTTCTTTGAGACATACAATGTAGCTGCAGTTACACATTTTTTGATTAAATCTCACTTGGACTCTACATAAGGCTCAGAGATGCTATAGTGTCTCTTAAATGTTTTATTTAAGAATAAATACCTTTGTAACCACTTTTGTTAGCAATGAAAGTAAAAGACTTTACCTCAGAGACTACTTCGGAAAGATCTGCTGATAATGAAATTGTCTCCTGTGTATTTTAAGACTCTGCATTGAATGTTACATTAATGGGTTTCCTTGATAATATGTAATATGTTTTTCCTACTAAATTAAATTTTTTAATTTTTAGAATACTGAACAATATAGCACAGTGCCTGTTGGTTTTCTTAAATTACAGCTTGCTTTAGAACGCCAGAAAACAGCAGAAAAAGAGCGCTTATTTCTTGTGTATGCTAAACAATGGTGGAGGGAATACCTGCAGATCAGGACCTCACACAACACAAGGCTAGTCAAAATTTTTGCACAGGTTTGTCAACTTTTATATTTTCTTACTTCTTACTATATGAAAAAAAATCTCTGAAGAAAAAAATGTAAATACAGATGTGCTGGGTTTTATTCAGACTTCTCTCTGCTCCTGGACAATGAGAAATCTTGCTTCCTTTGGTAAAGTGAAACGGACATATGTAGCACAGCAAGCGGAAGAGGCCCACATAGGCTGGGGACATACAGGACAGCTCAGGTGGTGGTGGTAGAAACTCCCCTAGATGCTTTTCCTCCACCCAGGCAACACTGATGATGTTACCAGCTGGGTACATGAAGTTGAGGCAGCATCCCCAGTGGAGTAGATGGGTGAGGAGGTGATGGCTCTGGTCACCATTGGCCCACAGGAGCAGGGAGGAGGTGAGATGGTGGTGGAGGATGGAGATCCAAGAATCAATTGCACTGGACCTTTGCTTTCCCATGAGTATATATATATAATATAATATAGTATATTGTATATACGTATAATATTTATAATATTATAATGTAATACAATATAATACTAGTAATAATAATTCAATATTATAATTATAATTATATATTTAATTACATGTAATATTACTAATAATATTACAATATAATGGTATAGTGCAATATAGTAATATATACTGATATTGTACTTTGCTAATAATATAATATATTGTATGAAAATATATATTGTAAGCCGCTCTGAGTCCCCTTCAGGGTGAGAAGGGCGGCATATAAGCGCCATAAATAAATAAATAAATATGAGTAAAAGTGCCTGACACTTCCATGTTTGCCTCAGCTGCAAGAGAAAGAGCCAGGGGAGGAAGCAGAGAAAGGCATGGATAGTGAGCAAGTGAAGCAAAAGGTGGTGAGTTAACAGGGAGGCAAGGGACTACAGCGGTAGCACTCCATCTATCCCTGCCCCCTGGCCCAATTGCACTTGTAACAAGAAATATTGTTAATGCATTTGTACAATTGAATGGTCATTTATAATAAAGTAAGCAACAATATAATAATCTTCTATATAAATAAAAATGTAATGTTCATTTGTGGGATTAGCATAACTCAAAAACCACTGGACAAATTGCCACCAAATTTGGTCATAATACACGTATCGGGGCAATGAGTGACCATCACTCATAAAAACACTGGAAAACACAGCGGAAGAGACTAAAAAGCCAAAAAATAAAAAATACATTACAACGCATGCGCAAACCACATATATATGCAAACACACATATATACACACATATACACAAATATATGCACACACATATGGGCCACAGCAACGCGTGGCAGGGGATGGCTAGTATATAATATCTAATAGTGATAATAATAGTAATAATAATTTGATTAACTACCTCTCCTTATGACTCGAATCAGGGTACAACATGGTTAAAATAATCAAATACCACACTGCTAAAATGCATATATTAAAATACAACAAATACCAATACCAATAATATATAGTAAGCCCCGATGCGAGATTTATATGGAGTGATCTGATGGGGATTCTCACTATAGAGTGTAGGTGTGATATATGTTTATTATTGAAAACCCCCATTTTAAAATTATGTAAAACTTTATTCCTTTAACCTATAAAAACCATGGTACTTTCTATTACTATTTTTAATGGTCTCTCTCTCTATATATTTATGTTTAGGATGAGAATGGGATAAACAGACCAGTGTGCTCCTATGTTAGGCCACTTCGAGCTGGCCGTATCTTGGATACCCCGAGGCAAGCAGCAAGATTTGCCAGTGTGCTCGGTTATGAAAGAGCTCCTGTTATTGGTGGGGGAAATAGTAAACAAGAACAATGGTGTACCCTTCTGGCTTTTTTGTGTAGAAACAAGGTAAGATATTTTAAGATAATATTTTATTTAGTTGGTGCTGATGATTGTTTCAAAATTATTTGAAAGTTGGTGGCTTGTATCTTTACTTCAGCATGTACATAAACTGAGTGGGGAGAGCCACTGCTGACTTTATAAATTAAGCTACATAAATGGCTTTCAGATGGTTGGAGTATCAAAAATGTTGTTCAAGTAGGGTTCAACACCCAGTCATGAATGTCATTAAATATAAATCCTACTGCACAGAAGCCATATAAAGTTATATTCAGTAGGAGTGTTCAGAATTCTTAACATTTGTATAACCCAGATGCATGTCTATTAACTTCTACATTCAAATAATGCTCCTCTTTTTGGTCACAAACTTAAAATAAAATATAGCACATTTTTGCTTTGTTTTTGTAGAATTTAGCACTGGGGTGGTTTCTTCCATTTCTTATTATGAACTAAAACCCTATGTTAATCTTAACTAGAATATTTTGCATAACTAGACTTATTTTGCATAGAATTATGGAAAAAATAGACCCCTGTCTGATTCCACAGCAAGCTGCCTTCAGGAAAGGCAAAAGCTGCACATCCCAAGTGCTGAACCTGACTCAGCACATAGAAGATGGCTTTGAAAAGCAGCAGATCACAGGAGCTGTCTTAATAGACCTGTCAGCGGGTTATGATACTGTGAACCACCGCCTCCTCCTGAGAAAAATGTATAATATCACAAGGACTACCACCTCACCCGCCTCATAGGAAACCTGCTACAAAACAGGAGCTTTTTTGTTGAGTTCCAGGGCCAGGGAAGCAGATGGCGGAAACAGAAGAACGGCCTGCCTCAGGGGAAGCGTGCTTGCTCCATCCATGTTCAACATCTACACAAATGACCAGCCACTGCCAGAAGGGACAGAGAGTTTCATCTATGCTGATGATCGTGCCATCACCGCTCAAGCAGGGAGCTTTGAGATGATTGAACAGAAGCTCTCCAAAGCTCTAGGTGCTCTTACTGCCTATTACAGGGAAAACCAACTGATCCCTAATCCATCTAAAACACAGACATGTGCCTTTCACCTTAAGAACAGACAAGCATCCCGAGCTCTGAGGATTACCTGCGAAGGAATCCCACTGGAGCATTGCAGCGCACCCAAATACCTGGGAGTCACTCTGGACCGTGCTCTGACCTACAAGAAGCACTGCCTGAACATCAAGCAAAAAGTGGGTGCTAGAAACAATATCATACGAAAGCTGACTGGCACAACCTGGGGATCGCAACCAGACACAGTGAAGACATCTGCCCTTGCGCTGTGCTACTTTGCTGCTAAGTATGCATGCCCAGTGTGGAACACATCTCACCACACTAAAACAGTGGATGTGGCTCTTAATGAGACATGCCGCATTATCACGGGGTGTCTGCGCCCTACACCACTGGAGAAATTACACTGCTTAGCCGGTATTGCACCACCTGACATCCGCCGGGAAGTAGCAGCCAATAGTGAAAGGACCAAGGCAGAGACATCTCCAGCTCATCACCTGTTTGGGTATCAGCCAGCACGTCAACGACTTAAATCAAGAAATAGTTTTCTTAGATCTACAGAGACACTCGCTGGAACACTTCAGCAAGCGAGAGTCCAAAAGTGCCAGGCTCAAACCCAGCACCTCAATCCGTGGGTGATACTAGATGAGAGACTCCCCCCTGGGCACACAGAAGACTGGGCAACTTGGAAGGTGCTGAAAAGACTGCGCTCTGGCATCATGAGATGCAGAGCCAATCTTAAGAAATGGGGCTACAAAGTTGAATTCACAACATGCGTGTGCGGAGAAGAGCAAACCACTGACCACCTGCTGCAATGCAACCTGAGCCCTGCTACATGCACAATGGAGGACCTTGCGGCAACACCAGAGGCACTCCAAGTGGCCAGATACTGGTCAAAAGACATTTAATCAACTACCAAGTTTGCAAAATTTGTGTTCTTTTAATCTGTTTGTTTGTTTTGTTCTGTTAGAAATGTAATACAATGGTATGGTTGCTGATGATACGATTAATAAACTAGAATAGACCTATTAAAATAAATTAAATCAACTAGTCACCACTTTAAAATTCCATTCATCTATTTTAAAACAATTATAGCACTTTGATAGCACTTCATTTAAGCTACTTTTTCTGATTAGCTTTCTAATATTTTCTCAACTGATGTGTCACCTATTTAGGGCGACTGCGAAGATCATGCTAACCTTTTATGCAGTCTTCTGCTAGGTTTTGGGCTGGAAGCTTTTGTCTGTGTAGGAACAAAGGCTAAAGGAGTTCCTCACACGTGGGTTATGACTTATGGGATTGATGGAATGGTCACTTTTTGGGAGAGTTTGACAGGACATAGGTAAGTAAACAACTTACAAATTTAAATTACGGCATATTTTAGAACTTCTCAGAGAGAAGTTTTATGAAGTGGAGTGGGCAGATCAAAAGACAACCTGGCAAAATGGCACTACCTAAAAGAATCCCATACCTTGTGTGACTGTGGAGCAGAACAGACAACTCTGCGTCTGTATTCTTGTCCATTGTGCCCTGCCTCATGTACAGAGGAGGAATTATTGGAGGCTACAGACAATGCCATTGCTGTTGCCCATTTTTTGTCGAAAGATATTTAGCCACCTGCACACCTTCTATTTTTGTCAGTTTTATGCTAATTTATGCAATGCTTTTGATACTAAATAAATAAATAAATTCAAAATGGCCGTTATATTTAAAAAATGCTGAAAAACAGCTTACCACTGTACTGTAAGACATGCCATATCTTACTTTTGTTTCTCCGCATGTTTTTGGTCTCCCAACAGGCCAAAACTAGTCCTCAGCACAGTTGCTTACATTTTATTTAAAATTGACTTGGGATCTGAATACAAATTTGCTGAAATGGCATGTACTAATGTACTGTGCAAACTAAGCAGTAGTCTTACCTTAGTGGGCAACTGTTCGGCCACATTAAACATTTAACTCTTGATAGTGTGAATGTATCTTTTAGGGCTGGGTTCATGCTTTAAAACAGGAGTCCTCAAACTTTTTAAACAGAGGGCCAGGTCACAGTCTCTCAAACTGTTGGAGGGCCGTATTATAATTTGAAAAAATATGAATGAATTCCTATGCACACTGCACATATCTTATTTGTAGTGCAAAAACCACTTTAAAACAATACAATGACTAAAATGAAGAACAATTTTAACAAATATAAACTAATTAGTATTTCAATGGGAAGTGTGGGCCTGCTTTTGGCTGATAAGATAGAATTGTTGTGCTTTCAAGTCATTTCAGACTTAGGTTGACCCTGAGCGAGGGCCGGGTAAATGACCTTGGAGGACCGTATCCGGCCCCAGGGCCTTAGTTTGAGAACCCCTGCTTTAAAAGGTGCATTCCTCATGTCCATTTTCAGTCTGTTCAGTTTAGTTGAGTAATGCCTATTGTACAATGCATATATAATCCAAAGTAGATTAGATTTCTTTTTATTTTTTGACCTTAGCTTAAATGAAAATATGCAGTATTGTAATATATCTATATATATGTTACTCCAGGTATATTCACAATCCTATTAAGCCTGATGATCCTCCAATTATTGAACAGCCCAAGCCAGCGTATCCTTACCGAACCATAGGTTGCCTCTTCAATCACCAAAGGTTTCTGGCCAACTGCCAGCCTTCTGATGCTGTAGAACTATGTGTCTTCGATTTGCATGATGAATCTAAATGGAAACCAATGAGCGGAGAAGCCATCAAATCGGTGTGTTCTCCAGGAGCCACGACTGCGCTTCCACCTTTTCCTCCGCTCTGTGCTTCAGTAATAGATGCTGCTGCAGCAAGCAATGAACTGGAATTGCAATTGAGGATATTAGTGGCAGAACACAGGAAGGTATATATCATTATCCATTTGTGTTCTCCTTTTTCTTGTTTTCTTCTTCAAATAAAGAAGTTAAAGCTACCACCAAAGATAGGCTAGATATTTTTAAAATAGCACACTTACTTCCCCCCACCCCACTCCTTGGTACTCAGGTTATTGACCATTGGTTTTATATTAATGTGCAAAATAATCTAAAATGGCTTTGTGTATAGTTAAGACCCTCAGTGAGCTAACTCCTGGTGTGGGTTTAGGAAAGTAGTTTAAGCTTGTTTGGCACTTTGCCAAAAAGGTTTTCCAAGTTTAATAGCTCAAGGGCTATGGAACAGGGTTGGAAAGTTTAAATTTCTCCACCACTGAATTAAACTCTGCCTTTTCCTGTTAATGATAATGGAATAAATTGTCTAAGTGCGAACTATGACAATGTAGTACCTGATAACTATAAAGTGAGAAAATGTTTAGACAAAACATTTATGCTGAATCATATGATCATTTTAATCTATTTAAGCTTTGAGGACTGGAATATTAAAACCCAAAATAGCAGATTATGGACAGGATGTTGTAAGAGCCAGATCAATAATTATCCTCCTTTTCTCAGTAGCATAATTAATGCATACACACTCCAGATAGCTTTTGCGGGGCTGGGATACCCCAGCATTATTTTTTGGGCAGTGGAAGAGACTCTGGATGCATTACACTGCAGAATCAACACAGTTTGACATCACTTTAATGGCCATTGCTCAATGCTATGGAATCATGGGAGCTGTAATTTTGTGAGACAGCAGCACTTTTGGGCAGAAAAGCCTAAAGACCTTGTAAAACTACAGCTCCCATGACTCCATAGCACTGAGCCATGGCAGTTGAAACAGGGCTGAACTACATCCAACAATGTAAACATACCCTCTTGTCAGAGAGAGAAGGAAAGTTCTGAAAGCTTTGGATTTAGACTCTTATCTTCAGTTACTCTTGATTGTGACATCTGTAATCTTCCTAATGGTAACAAACATTGCTTTGTCTGGCTTATGTTAATGTCTTTAATCACATGAATGTTGTGATGCCATGGGGATTTCCACAATCTGACTTTTCCCTCTTAAAGCAGCATAATTTAGAATTGGAATTTGTGTACATTTGCTGCACTGGATTAAATGTGTGTTCTTTCTAAACCATGCGTCTTTTATAATGCACAATAGAGCAAAACACACTTTTTGCCTTGGAGCATCATTCGAAGACATTAACAGTCTTTTTTTAAATAACTGAATTTACTTTAAAAAGTTCCTTAGAGAACTAGTGGCAGTAGAGACTAGAAAGAAGATCCTAAATTCAAACTGCTTCACTGTGCTACAAAAGCATGTAACAGTTCCTATATATCAACCTGAAGGGTGGGAATAACATGTTTCATATAAGTACAGACAGTCCCCAAGTTACAAACAAGATAGGATCTGTATGTTTTTTTCTTAAGTTGAATTTGTATGTAAGTCAGAATGGAACTTTTTTAAGAGTATAATTCCAGCCATTTAGTTTTGAATAGAACCCCAGTGGCACAGCAGGTTAAACTGCTGAGCTGCTGAACTTGCTGACTGAAAGGTTGGTGGTTTGAATCCAGGGAGAAGGGTGAGCTCCTGCTGTTAGGCCCAGCTTCTGCCAACCCAGTAGTTCAAAAACATGCATGTGTGAGTAAATCAATAGGTACCTCTTCTGCGGGAAGGTAACGGCACTCCATGCAGTCATGCTGGCCACATGACCTTAGAAGTGGCTACTGACAATGCTGGCTCTTTGTCTTAGAAATGGAGATGAGCACCACCCCCCAGTCAGACACGACTAGACTTTATGTCAGGGGAAACATTTACCTTTTAGTTTTGAATAACATCAGGAAAGATTAACACCTCTAACATTTGTTTTGCTATCTGTGCCCCTGTTCAGAAGATGTCACCTTACTTTCTGTTTCTGTGATAATTGGGTTTTGAACATTTTGGATTGTCATGGAAACAAGGAACTGTGATAAAGCTTTAGTGGAGACACCTTTTCCTCATGATAACTCTTCCAGGAGTGAATTGCTCTTCTTCTCACTTCCTGTTGTCTCACCCTGTTTGCAATTAGGAGGCGGATGTAATTCATATATTTGCAACTCAGAGATTGCTTGTAGACACTCCTATATGAAAGGCTGGCCTGTTTGGTAGAAAGCACGGGTCTCTTGTTTCTTTGAGAATTTAGAGCATATGGGTTTTAAATCCCAAATATTTCATTTTGTAATTTGTTTTTATTCAGCCTTGTAACTTTTTAAAAAATATCAGTTTCTGTAGAGGAAATCTACTGGGATAATCCATACAGACTGAGAGAGCCAGTTTACAATAGTTGCCAGAATTACACAATAATCTGTACATTGGGAGAGGGGGGGAAGAAATTACTTTAAAAAAACATGTAACCCTATTATTGTTCCCTCATATTAATACATGTCAGCAAATAATGTCAGCAAACAATATATGGATATCAGTCAGTATGCCAACACCTTAAATCAAGAAACAGCTTCCTAAGATCTCCAGGAATAGTTCCTCAGCAAGCGGGAGTCCAAAAGTGGCAGGCTAAAACCCAGCACCTCAATTAGTGGCTGAGACCGGATGAGAAACTCCATCCTGGGCACATAGAAGAGTGGACAAACTGGAAGGTACTGAATAGGCTGTGCTCTGGCACCACAAGATGCAGAGCTAGCCTTAAGAAATGGGGCTACAAAGTGGAGTCCACAACGTGCAAGTCTGGAGAAGAGCAAATCACAGCCCACCTACTACAATGCAACCTGAGCCCTGTCAAATGCACAATAGAGAACCTTCTCACAGCGACACCAGAGGCACTCCAAGTCACCAGCTTCTGGTCAAAGGACGTTTAGCATAATGCCAAGTTCTTTTTAAACTTCGTTTGTGTTTTTAAATGCGTTTTAACTGTATCCCCAACTAACTTCTGACATCTATATAAATAAAAATGTAATGTTCGTTTGTGGGATTAACATAACTCAAAAACTACTGGGCGAATCGACACCGAATTTGGACACAAAGACACCTATCAGGCCAACAAGTGACCATCACTTATCAAAACATGGAAAAGCACAGCAGAAAATACTTAAAAAGTCAAAAAACAAAACAATGCATTACAACACATGCACAAAACCACATATATACACAAACACACACATATATACAAATATATACACATACACACACAAAACACATACACAGACTGGGCCACAGCAACGCGTGGCAGGGGACAGCTACTGATAAATAAATAGCAAATAATAGCATTGGCTAAAGACATTGTTTTGTAATAACTGTGATGCCTCCTGACTTGATATAATTCATTTTTGATATTTTGACTGATATTTTTTCCCATATATTTGTTCCTCCCCCCCCCCACCCCCACCCCACTAATGTTAGCCAAGGAGCATTATAAATACATCGATCCTATTATTTTGTGTTCTTCGTGTGTTTTGACATATAGGATCTTGGTTTGGCAACAGTTTGGGACGACCAGCTATCTTATCTTTTGTCCCCAGCCTTGGCAGCCTATGAACTTGAACGTACCACAGGCGTTTCTTCTGGAAATGAAGAGTTTCAAGATGCTATCAGGAGAGCAGTCCCTGATGGCCACACATTCAAAGGATTTCCTATCCATTTTGTGTACAAAAATGCAAGAAGAGCGTTTGCAGCATGTCTTCGGTAAAACATCACTCATTGTCAGTTCTTTTATCTTTCCATTAAAAGCAAAGACCACCATTAATTACCCACATTCCCTAGAGTTAAGGACACAAAACCCTTGTGAAAGTGAAAAACTGAATGAGGAAGATTCCTGGGTTTTTTCTACCCAAAATAATACCTCTAGGCCTTTCAACATGGCTCTGTGGTTGACATCCACTAGACGTAGATCAGACTCACAATGGAGCAACTAGAGCGAACAAATTCATGAATTAAAAATCCACAAAAATCAAATCATGAATGTGGAAAGACAGTAAAAATAGTTAATACTTGCATATAATGTTCACTGTTTTGTGTTTTGTTTACACTGTAAGTTGTTGTTGTATGTAAATAAAATCTTTTTTTAAAAAAATAGAAGTATTACTGATGTATAAGTAGAATTTCCTTCCAAGAAGACCTCATAACACAAAACTCTGTAAATAATGTGTGCAATGAGCATACATCTTTTTTCAAAGGAAAAGGGGGTTTGAAATAATCATTTTTTTCAGTATTGTGCAGTTACATTATGGTGGCCCTGATGCTCGCAGAAATTGGAAACCTTGTTTTAATACAGTAAAACATATATGAGAATTCAAGGACCGTAATTAATCATGTTTCTGTTTCTTCAAATAGGTCTCCTTTCTGTGAAGAAATACTGTGTTGTCGAGGGGACCAAGTGCGGCTTGCAGTTCGTGTCCGAGTATTCACATACCCTGAATCTGCGTGTGCTGTTTGGATCATGTTTGCTTGCAAATATCGTTGTGTACTCTAAGAAATCACTCAACTGTTTCACTGAATTACTGCTAAGACAAGCAAAGTCCCAAAGACTCAGGCTCAAATACAGCTCTGTGCAGTACTGATGGATGACTCATATCCTATATTTGAACACAATAATTTGCAAGTAAATTGCATTGATCTCAGAGGAATTTATTTGTAAGTGTGCTGGGGAATTATATGTTATTGTGTCTATTTGAAGGCAATGCTGAAATAGCACTGAAGAACATAATGGTGTGCTTTTGATAAACAGGTACAATAATGAGCATTGGCTGGGAGATTCTGTCTAATGTATCATGAAACAAGTGTGTATAAAATGTAATTAATATATTATAAATAAATAAATATTTATTTTTAAAAACTTGTTTTAATAAAAATAAATAATTAAAAAGACGGACGTCCTGAAGTTTAATTTGACAACCAGTCTTCAGTATGTCATTACTTACAACTGTAACAACAACATTTTATTATCGTCCAAAGCCACTTTTTCTTCATAGGTATACAAGGTGTACAAGGTTAATCACATCAGCAACAGCTGACTAATTAGACACTGTCATTTTTTAAATAAATATTTTCAGTTGTATTAAAATTAGGAAACCTGAAAAACACAGTGCCTCTTTTTCTTTAGAAAAGAAAAATAAGTAAAATGTTGAACTCCCAGAGTACGCGATCACAATTTAATAGTTCTTCTGCATCTTTACTGCTATGTAAAATAAACTTTAATTGAGATGCCATATATTCTGTTACCTATGAAGCTGTGGGTAATAATATATTGTGATATGTATATTTATATAATAAGTTATTTATTTATTTATTTACGACATTTATATCCTACCCTTCTCGCCCTGAAGAGGACTCAGGACGGTTTACATAATTGGCATTATTCCATGCCCAAACAACAACAATTAAAAGCAATCAAACAACAATTTAAAACAACATATGTAAATATTACATGACTATTGTGCATAGATCCAAAACCAGATAATCATATTCCTCAATCCAGGGTCAATTATGACTATATTGTACAGATAATTATGCTGGGCTAAGTGCTTGTTTGTGAAATTACAGGAGGGTGTTAGGATCATAACCTACTGGGTAGCAGAGTTTCAGAAGTATTCTCTTAGTTTACTGGGTAATGGATGATTACTGGGCACGTAAATATCTTGTTTCTATTCCATGCTCTCAGAAGACAAAGATTCAAGTAGACTTCTTTAACAATAACTTGTGTGTTTTACTCACAATGACATGTATGTAAATATACAGGCACATTTCTTATCAGGTTAAACTTTAAACATTTCAGTTTGTGTCTTTAAGTTAGACTCTTTATCAGTCTCTTCAAAACTATACTGCTCTGTACAGCTCTATTTCATAAGCTATTTCTGCTTCCAAGGGACTGAAGCCTCAACTGTCACCTTTTAAACTGCATTCTAAAACAGTCACATGGTCTGCAGCATCTCCCACTGCCTCAGGTACATAGAGCTAAGGAAGACTGCAAACCAAAGAAGACATACACTTCAGGAAATAAACAACGCATTGTAAACAGACAAAACATTAAATAAAGGAGGCTTGAGAAGATTGCGATTTCCAACACCCATTTTGTTAATAATAATAATAATAATAATAATAATAATAATAATAATAATATCTCCACTCAGAAGCAGTTTTCTCAATGTAGTTATTTCCCCAAACACCTATATTTCTTTACTTGTTCCTCTTTGGCAGTTGGGGATGTCTTTCAAACTAGGGCCAACACAAGGCAGAGCCATGTGCTGTGCTGTTTGGAGGCTCTTCACTATTTAAAGTGGGTTTCAGATACTAATTTTCCTACTTTCTCTAATCCCATCATTGTGCACAAAATCTCCTTTCAAAACATTCAAAGAAAGATGGCTTACCTTTCCTCTTTCTACCACCTCAAGATGATGGAAAATGTAGCCCAACACACTTTGGGGAAACCAGATAGCCTTGTACTCATACACCTGTGAAAAGCAACAAAAATGCATAGATTGCAAGTAAACTTACAAAGCTGACTTGTGGTCTCTCAGACCATAGGTTCTTGGTGTTATTGCCTGAATAAATATTGCCAGCCCTGTTAGAAAGATTTTGAGCTGGACGTGCCAGGTTTTGAACCTGGGCTTTTCTGTATGCGAAGCATGCCATCTACATTTAGCAAGATGTTCTCACCTAGCAGCAGACCATGGTGATGCAGTCAAGGAATTCTGGCCAGAATATTCAGGGCAGGATGAATAGCCAGTTACGTAACTAAATTAAATGGGACAGTTTTTTAAAAACATTAAGGAAAACACTGAAAGAGAGAGAACACATCCAGCATCAACCTTAGATTCTCCATGTTCTTAGGGAAGCTGTATTAAGAACTATGACATATAAAACAAATGTGTAAAGGCACAACTATTTGACAAATAGTACATTTTACAAGTATGCTCTACCTAACTTGTTAGTTGCTTTGATATTTTCAAGCAGATAAAATGTCTAGGCGCAGGAGGAGACTAGAGTGTTCAGTTTTTCTCCAGTTTATTAAAATAGTTTAACAATATTACTTAAAATACATCTTTTTCCATTTCAGCTCAAAACAATACAAGCGATAAAGACTTGCGTGGCTGCAGAGAGGGCTTTGCTTCTGTCACCATTGCTTGCTTACAATGTAACAAAATCCCTCTAGGAATGGCAGTGGGAACTAATAAACTGTAGTTTGGAATGGAAACATTTCTTGCATAATGACAAATCATGCATGGTAGGGTGATCTGCGCCCCTACTTTGTCTGCTCAGTCTGGCACCAGTTGCAAAGGCCAGACAGTTGCCAGGGGATTAAACCTGAGGACTTCCAGCATGCAAAGCTGATGTTTGCATGCAAAGCAGTGCTGGAAATAGAATTAGGGAACTTGTACACTTAGGAGGAAAGGAATGACAGGTTCCTATTAATTTAGGAAAGAATTATCGAGGCCATAATAGCAATAGCCTTCCTCTTGGCAAATTGCCATAGGGAATGCATTGGTGTATAATGGAATTTCTTCCCTGGGGAGACGTCAGACCTTCCTGTCTGAGCTGACTGCTGTTCTACTCAACGCCCAATACATTTTTTAAAAAACCCAGTTGCTGAGTTCAACAAATTCACAATTATTGGGGGCTTTTTAAATATAAGACAATTGAATTTTGTGAAAAGCTTGGAAACCATTTATGGATTATTTTAGCAATAGATAATATAACAATGCAATACTCTGACTATGGTTATTAGTAACTCTAGTTAGATTATTTGGCTGGATCTGTAATGGTGGATTCCCCCCATAGAATCATAGAGTTGGAAGAGACCTCATGGGCCATCCAGTCCAACTCCCTGCCAAGAAGCAGGAATATTGCATTCAAATCACCCCTGACAGATGGCCATCCAGCCTCTGTTTAAAAGCTTCCAAAGAAGGAGCCTCCACCACACAGAGAGTTCCACTGCTGAACGGCTCTCACAGTCAGGAAGTTCTTCCCATGTTCAGATGGAATCTCCTTTCTTGTAGTTTGAAGCCATTGTTCCGCGTCCTAGTCTCCAGGGAAGCAGAAAACAAGCTTGCTCCCTCCTCCCTGTGGCTTCCTCTCACATATTTATACATGGCTATCATATCTCCTCTCTGCCTTCTCTTCTTCAGGCTAAACATGCCCAGCTCCTTAAGCCGCTCCTCATAGGGCTTGTTCTCCAGACCCTTGATCATTTTAGTCGCCCTCCTCTGGACACATTCCAGCTTGTCAATATCTCTCTTGAATTGTGGTGCCCAGAATTGGACACAATATTCCAGGTGTGGTCTAACCAAAGCAGAATAGAGGGGTAGCATGACTTCCCTAGATCTAGACACTATGCTCCTATTGATGCAGGCCAAAATCCGATTGGCTTTTTTTGCCGCCACATCACATTGTTGGCTCATGTTTAACTTGTTGTCCACGAGGACTCCAAGATCTTTTTCACACGTACTGCTCTCGAGCCAGGCATCCCCCATTCTGTATCTTTGCATTTCATTTTTTCTGCCAAAGTGGAGTATCTTGCATTTGTCACTGTTGAACTTCATTTTGTTAGTTTTGGCCCATCTCTCTAATCTGTCAAGATTGTTTTGAATCCTGCTCCTGTCCTCTGGAGTATTGGCTATCCCTCCCAATTTGGTGTCATCTGCAAACTTGATGATCCTGCCTTCTAGCCCTTCATCTAAGTCATTAATAAAGATGTTGAACAGGACCGGGCCCAGGACGGAACCCTGCGGCACTCCGCTCGTCACTTCTTTCCAGGATGAAGAGGAAGCATTGGTGAGCACCCTCTGGGTTCGTCCATTTAACCAATTACAGATCCACCTCACCGTAGTTTTGCCTAGCCCACATTGGACTAGTTTCCTTGCCAGAAGGTCATGGGGGACCTTGTCGAAGGCCTTACTGAAATCCAGGTACGCTACATCCACAGGCATTCCCCGCATCTATCCAGCTTGTAACTCTATCGAAAAAAGAGATCAGATTAGTCTGGCATGACTTGTTTTGATAAATCCATGTTGACTATTAGGAATGACCGCATTTGTTTCTAAGTGTTTGCAGACCACTTCCTTAACAATCTTTTCCAGAATCTTGCCTGGTTGCGAGGCTGACCGGACGGTAATTGTTTGGGTCATCCTTTTTTTCCCTTCTTGAAGATTGGGACCACATTGGCCCTCCTCCAATCTGCTGGAACTTCTCCTGTTCTCCAAGAATTCTCAAAGATGGTTGCCAATGGTTCCGAAATGATTATAGTCTGGACAGAGGGGCGCTCAGAACCCTTTTGTGTTCATGTTTGTTTACATTAATTGTATTAGCATTGTATTTTAGTTTTAGGATCAGTTACATACTTTTTCTAGTTTTACTTATATGAATTTTCTGTTCTTTTTCTCTCTCTATATATAGATGCTCCTTGGAAGTGTGGTGGACTCTTCTTCTCTGGAGGGTTTTAAGTAGTGGCTGGAGGGCCATCTGTCAAGGGTGCTTGGATGGTGTGTTTCCATGTATTGTTGTATTGTGTTCTGAGGCTTCGGCCTGTGTAAGCCGCATCGAATCCTTCGGAGATGCTAGCGGGTACAAATAAAGTAATAATAATAATAATAATAATAATAATAATAATAATAATAATAATGAGTATAGTGCAAACGTGGGCCCTCCAGGTGTTTTGGACTCCCACCATTCCTAACAGCTTCGGGCCCTTAAAGCGACGGAGGGGGGAAAGTAAGGGGCCTGAGGCTGTTAGGAATGGTGGGAGTTGAAGTTCAAAACACCTGGGGGGGGGGGCTCAAATGTGCCCAGGCTTGGTATAGAACAACCAAAGACAAACCAAAGACACCCATCCTTGAGTGCTGTGTTTCCTGCTGCGCGCGCGCCGGCCGGAGGAGGGCGCTGGTGCGCGAGGGGCGCTCCCGCGTGCTGGGCGGGGCCTGCTCCTCCTCCTTCTCCAGTGGATTGCTGGCGGCTGGCGCGCGCTGCGTCGGGCGCCTCACGCGCTCCCTTTCCCGAGGCGGCGAAGCAGGAGGTGGGCGGAGCCTATCGGGAGATGCGGGCCACTTGAAGCGGCGCAGCCGAGGCGAGCGGAGCGAGAGGGAATGGCTGCGGCGGCGGCGGGAGGCAGCGAGGAGCCCTTGCCGGGCCCTTCGGGGCTCCGCAGGGGAGGACGAGGCGACGGCGAGAAGGACGAGGACGACGAGGAGGAGGCGCCCTTGGCTCCACTGCGGGAGGCGCTCTCTCTGGAGGAGATTCTGAGGCTCTACAACCAGCCCATCAACGAGGAGCAGGCCTGGGCCGTGTGTTATCAGTGCTGCGGGTCTCTCCGGAGAGAGTCGTCGTCGTCGCCGCTGGGACGCCGGGTGGAGAGCCCCGCCGACATCCGCATCGCCAGGGACGGCGCCGTCACCTTGGACCGAGGAGGAGGAGGAGGCCCCGGAGGAGCAGGTAGGAGCCCTCCGTTCCCATGGCGACGGCCCCCCTCCCGTCTCCTAGCAACGCAGGGGGACAGCCCCTCCCTGCCCGGGGGATCCGTTGCTAGGGGGAGAATCCTCTCCTAGCAACGGACCCCCGCCTTGCCCTTGCTGTCCCCTCCTTCCCTCACGTTATCCTTAGCTCGCCTTTCTCTCTCATGTTTATATATTGAGCCTTCCTTATCCGCTGGGGTTTGGTCCCGGGAATCCGCCAAACCCTTAGCAAATTGTGACCAAGACTGTAAATCAGGCCTGGGCAAACTGTGGCCCTCCAGGTGTTTTGGACTTCAACTCCACAATTCCTAACAGCCGCTGTTAGGATTGGGAGTTGAAGTCCAAAACATCAGGAGGGCCACAGTTTGCCCATGCTTGCTGTAAATACTATTACTTCTACTACTAATATATATAAATAAAAATGCAATGGTCAATGTATTGTCGAAGGCTTTCATGGCTGGAATCACTAGGCTCTTGTGGGTTTTTTCGGGCTATAGAGCCATGTTCTAGAGGCATTTCTCCTGACGTTTCGCCTGCATCTATGGCAAGCATCCTCAGAGGTAGTGAAGTCTGTTGGAATTAGGACAAGATCCCTCTTGTCCTATTTCCAACAGACCTCACTACCTCTGAGGATGCTTGCCATAGATGCAGGCGAAACGTCAGGAGAAATGCCTCTAGAACATGGCCCTATAGCCCGAAAAAACCCACAAGAACCTAATGCAATGTTCATTTGTGGGATTAATATAACTCAAAAACCACTGGACTAATTGACACCAAATTTGAACACAATACACCTATCAGGCCAATGAGTGACCATCACTCATAAAAACACTGAAAAACATAGCAGAAGATACTTAAGAAGCCAAAAAACAAAAATTACATCACAACACATGCACAAAACCACATATATACACAAATATACATATATACACACATAAACAAACATACACACGCTCATATACACACACACAAAACACATATACAGAGACTGGGCCACAGCAACGTGTGGCAGGGGATGGCTATTAAATGATAAAGGAGACGCTAATGATGTTGGTTTTTATGGCTTCTGTTGTGGTTTTATATTGTTTTTAATGTTTTAATTTGTATTATGATATTATGTGTACTGATTTGTTGTTAACCCGCCCTGAGTCGCCGACAGGCTGAGAAAGGCCGTATACCAATACAGTAAATATAAATAAAATAATAAATAAATAAACTTTATTTATATCTTTCCCCCTTCTTCCCAAAGGGACCCAGGAAGGCCTACAGCCAAACAAACAAATACAGTAAATGGTATAACACTGACAAAGATCACATATCAATTTGTGAAAGCAAAATAGCAGGATAATGAAGTGCTCTTGTATTTAGCCCCCTGGTGGCGCAGCATGTTAAACTGCTGAGCTTGCTGACCAAAAGGTTGGCGGTTCGAATCTGGGGAAAGGGGTGAGCTCCCGCTGTTAGCCCCAGCTTCTGTCAACCTAGCAGTTTGAAAACATGCAAATGTGAGTAGATCAATACATGCTGCTCTGGTGGGAAGGTAATGGTCCTCCATGTAGTAATGCTGGCCCCATGACCTTGGAGGTGTCTACGAACAACGCCGGCTCTTCGGCTTAGAAATGGAGATGAGCACCATCCCCCAGAGTTGAACACGATTTGACTTAATGTTGGGGGAAAACTTTTACCTTTACATAATAATAATAATAATAATAATAATAATAAGGTATTTATATCCCACGCCTCTCCACAAAGGGACTTGGGTGGCTTACAGCAAAATAAACAAATACAGTAAATGTGTTTGTCAAAGGCTTTAATGGCTAGAATCACTGGGTTGCTGTGAGTTTTCCGGGCTGTATAGCCATGTTCCAGAAGCATTCTCTCCTGATGTTTCGCCCACATCTATGGCAGGAATCCTCAGAGATTGTGAGGTCTGTTGGAAACAACGCAAGTGAGGTTTATATATCTGTTGAAGGTCCAGGGTGGGAGAAAGAACTCTTGTCTGTTAAAGGCAAGTATGAATGCTTCAATTGAACACCTTGATTAGCACAGCCTAGAAGTCAGCCATAGCAGAACACCTGATGAACCAACCTGGACACAGCATATGACTTGAGAACACAGAAATGCTGGGCCACTCTAACAATCACCATGTCCGATTACACAGAGAAGCCATTGTACTCCACAAGCATGTGGACAATTTCAACAGAAAGGAGGAAACCATGAAAATGGACAAAATCTGGCTACCAGTATTAAAAAAATCTCTAAAATCAGGACAGTAATTAAAGAGGAACATTCAAACAACAGGGGAATTCCAGACGGGAAACAATCAGGGCCAGGTAACACCTCCCAAACAAAGGATTCCTCCAGGCAGGAAGCAGCCAAGCCTTGAAGCTGCAAGGTTATTCAGTGCTAATCATGGTGATCAGTTGCAACATTCACACTTGCCTCAGGCAGACAAGAATTCTTTCTCCCACCCTGGACATTCCACAGACATAAAAAACCCCACTTGCTTTGTTTCCAACAAACCTCACAATCTCTGAGGATGCCTGCCATAGATGTGGGTGAAATGTCAGGAGAGAATGCCATACAGCCCGAAAAACTCACAGCAACCCAGAATGCAGTAAATGATATAACACAGACAATAATTGCATACCAGTTTATAAAAGCAAAATAGCATGATAATGTAAACATAAATTTAAAAAGTTTAAAAGACGATTTAACCCTCTAAAAACAGTGTGTGTGTGTGTGTGTGTGTGTGTATGTATGTATGTATCTATGTGTGTGTGTGTGTGTATGTATGTGTGTGTGTGTGTATATATATATATATATATATATATACGTACTGTTTAAAACCAGTTAATTCCTATGATCAGAGTATGATACATTCCTATGATACATTTTATTTATTACCCCCTCTCCGAATGGCTACAGGCAGAGTGCAACAAATTCAAAAACAAATGCACATAAACATACAATAAATTACTAAATTACATAGATAAAGGTACATAAATATATAATGCAATCTAACACCTTTACTGCTGGCTTGAGGCAGGGTACAACAAATTCAAAAATACATGAAGATTAAAAAATATAATGAATTACCAAATAAGTTAGATAGATAAAAACACATAAATATATAAAGACATAAATATGTAACGTTACACAACAGTTTTACTGCATTATAAATACCTATTCCAGATATCAACTCTCAAGCAACCAACCCCAAAAAACCAAAGAGTGCTTCAAATAAAAAGTTTAAAAAATCATATTTTATCTAATACTATAAAACACGTTGATCCATGTTTAGCTGCCATCTTTCTATTAATCCACAGTAGACTCTCCATTAACCAGAACTCTCGAGCAACCAAAACTCTCAACAGGCACAAAAAAGAAAAACATTTTTTTGCAGAACAAGGCTTTTTAAAATAATTCAGTAAAACCGTTACATTATGTTTGCCTTTCTTTGTCATAATTTGCTTTTAATTTGCTGTGAATTGATATCAAAAGCATTGGTAGATAACGGATACATGTAGTTTCTGGTTACTTGAGAGCTACTGTTAAAACAGGCCTAACTTGTATTGCATATCATGAACTCTAGTTTGATCTTAATATCAAGTCAATTCAAATTTTATGGTATGGTATATAAATAGTATGGCCTGTTTTAATTGTTGCTCTCAAGCAACCAGAAACTACATATATCTGGCATCTGCCAATCTCCATGGGTGCCAGTTAACTGAGAGTGTACTGTTTATTCAAGGACATAGCAAAATGTGTCCCCAGATATGCAACGGTTTGACTTTTGGAAATCAATGGATTCTAAGATTCATGGATGAAGAATCTCTGGATACGGCGGGCTGGTGGTATAAATAACTGGATTATTTTTAAGCCATGAATGGTAGAATCTGTGAATAAAGAGGGCTGACTGTCTAAACATGGGTTCCCTCCTCTGCCTCAAGATGAGGATTCCCCCTCCTCCCTTCCAGAATCACTCTTACAAAAACACCTCTGTTCCATCTTGTTTACACCTCCTTTTCCTGAGCTGCACCCATTTGTCATATTTCTTCAATTGTAAGATGTCCTGGTTTGTATGATGCACACTAATTTAGTACCACCAACAGAAAAAAGCTTTCTTTATATATAAGAAAAGCACCTTCGTTTCTAAGATGCACCCTATTTTTAGAGATGTTTATGTGAAAGGGAAGGGAAAGTGCTTGTATTTACAGAGCAACTTATCCTTTATTAATGCTCACACATTGCTAAATACATACATGAATACATATATGTATCTATTTAGATATATATACTATATACTGCATTATGGCTGATGCAAATGTAGGCAGGCAGTTCCTTGATCCTGCAAGGGCAGCTTCTTTAACCTGGCCCCAAATGCCTTGATTTGTGCTGCTGCATTTCCATGCTTAATGCAGCTATATGAATGTGTGCATTGAACTTGAGAGATGCAGGTGGAAAAGGTTGTTCTGATCTGTATCAGAAAACGAGATGTGTGTGTAGCTGTCTGCATTTTCCTCAATCTCTGCCTCTATAAGCTAGATTTTATTTTTGCTGCTTCTGCTTAGAGAAAGCCTGTCGAAAGGAAAATGATGCAGAGCTGCTCATGTAGGTCAGCATGATGCTGGGGGAGGGCACTGCAAAGCAAAACAAAGAGAGCAGCTGTCAGAGGCCGGGCATGCTGTTCGCAGGAGGTTTTAGTGTCGCTTGGCTTTGTGCCTTTGTTTAGTGTGTGTGTGTTTATCCAAAACAAAGGCTTTAATCCTAAATTAAATTCTTTTGGAATAAATTCTACTGGTATGAGTGGGATTTAGGTCTTAGTTCTGCAGTCGTTTATCTGCTTCTCACAGAGTTCATGGAAAACATGCAGGTGGAAAAGATTGTTCTGATCTGTATCTATCAATGTTGTACTTATTAGTAAATGACAATATCAAATTAATTAAATGGCATAATGAATGCGAGAAGGAAAGCATGACT